GGACTCCGCCATCACAACACCTGGAAACCTCACAGGGTATTCACTTTTGCAGGGCGCTGACTCAATATCCGGCACGGCCTCGCTCTGGCTTTGGATCGTAGAGCAGGAGCTGAAAAGTCTCCTCAGTGTTGCAGCTCCAACACTGGCTTCTTTAAGTCAATAAAAACATGACCCTGTTTGATTTGGTTCATCAGAGCAGCCTGGCGTCTTTCGCCTTTAATATCTGACATTCTCAGTAAATAAACTGTCAAACAAGATTTTCTTTTTCTTTTTCTCACTTAAGCTGCAACACTGTGAAGATGATTCATTCAGATCTGTAAGTCTGGCAGGTTGTGAGGTGATCCTATTCAGGACAAAACCAGGTCAAATCCAAAAGGGGACAGTCTATCAAACAAAGCAAAGGCAAAGGTTATCAGCTTCTGAGGCCAAGTAACTTCTTCCAAGTTGGTGGGTCACCTTAAGAGTTGTAATTATGAGCCCAAACCGAGCGGCCATTCCTCCAGGAATATTCTGCAGGGAGTCAAATGGCAGTATTATAAAAAAAACATGCTGTGCTGACATCACAGAAAAACACCCCTGTGCTTAACAAACACAACTTTGCTGGGCATTGCTTTCCGGCAGCTGTGTAAAAGCAGTTGTGTAAAAGCCAGACCCCGGTCGGCTCGTGTTTCTCTGTGGCAGCCGTGACCTTCACTGTGTTGCCACTTAATTGAGTGCATACACCTGAGCGTGCCAGGTCCCGATGGAAATCAAACCCGACCTCCACTGATGTTGGTGCCACACAGACTAATGAGCCGAAAAAGGCCTTACGCCTGTTCCGCCGCGACGTGTTCGCTTGCAGCTCGCGGGGCTCGGGTTCAGGGAAGTGTTGGTCGCCTGGTGTGAGACAGGACTGCAGCACCCACAAAACCCACAGTTGTTGCTGCGTCAGGTGACCGATGGATTAAACCTCCAAAAAGAGTCGGCGCGGTCCGCTGAGTGACTGATGCCGCCCTCCTGCCTCGCGGTCCAGACTGGCCAACCGTAGCCGGGCCTCTAATTGGGCGTCTGGATGACAGAAGGGATCCTTCAGAGAAGCATCCATCATGTCCTTGAGGAGCCGCAGAGACCAGACGGTACTGTCAGGAGGCCGGCCGAGCGTTTGTCTTCAGCCGGGGCACGAATCACGTTCTGATGATGAAGACCTAATGGCTTTTGACAGGGAGTTTCGCCAGTGCGCTGGAACACACTCAAAGATATGCAGATGCATCTGGACGGGCAGCGTGAAGGTGTCTCACTGATGGATTTGTTTCAGAGGGAGCTTGGGTGGTATGTTTTATGTTGACAGGTTTTCTGCAATAGTAAGCCCAAACTCGAGCAGAACTTCGGTAGCCTGGTTAAGAAAGACATAGGGGAAGTAAAGATTTCTTTCATTGTAAGTGTTGGGAAAATTAGGAAATGGTACCTTATTGAACCTATCTGAATGCAGACTGCAGATTTAATCCTATAAATGGGGGAAAAAAATCCCAGCTCTTTGAAAATGAAAACTAATGTGAATGCAGTGAATCTTTTTTTGGCTCCCTCTGCAGATGTGGAGTGTAACACCACATAAAAGCAAAACTGCTTTTAGTCTGTAGATGTACAGCCACATGTAGGAATTTGTTATGTGGTGGAGGCCGTAAAGATGCCATCAAAAACCCGTAAAAATGTCAAGTGACCATAAAGAAAAACAGTGTGGTGCTAAACAGAGTTGTATATCGTGGTAGATCAGCCTCTGGCCTTCCGGAAAAGTGCAAAACAAAGGTCAGTTTACCACAAATCGAATCACAGGCACAAAGTTCCAAGAGATACTTCAATGATCATTTTTACTTTAATTGATTCTGATTCGTGGTCAATGATTCAATGTGGAATTACTCAATTGTTAAAAAAGTATTCCCGTCTTAGATTTATTAATTTTTGTATATTTCGGATTTTAGACAATTACATGAACTTGATACACAGACTGTCCGATTGATAGAATCTGAACTGACACAGAAATTGTTTAGCAAATAGAAATATTGTAAAATGTCAATCTCACATGAAAGTAAGATAAGCGTGGATTAGCAAAATGTATTAGTTACACTGTTTACACTTAGGGTATTTTTCTTACTTTTATTTTAATGGCTCAATATTTAGAATAAAAAATAAAGATTAAAGTATAATTTCTTCTACATTTAGAAATTTGCTATTTTAAAAAAATCAAATCCCAGACGCCTTGGATCCACTGCTGAGAAAACTGTCAAATACTCAGTCTTCCAGCTACACCCGTGTTTGACAGAGTAATCCCAGCTTTTCTTATTTCACTGTTAAAGGAGCAGAGAGCACTTTAAGAGACATTTCTTCAAAGTAATCGTGTGTTCTGATCTCACTTAGTCATCCCCTCGACGTTGGTCGCTGATGAGTATTTTAAAAACACTTGAACCGTGGAACCAACTTGACAGCCTGACAGAAACACTCCAAACAGTTAAGGAGGCAGGATGGATGCTCCTAACCTCCTACAGCTTTTATAGGCAACTCAGGCAGCTGCTCAGAGGCGAACACTGACGTTAATAATAGCTGTTTAAACACATGTTGTCAAAGGCTGTCTGCACATGCTGAGCTGGATGTGCAAAAATGTACAGAAACACCCCTTAAAAAAGGTGTTCTATTCACTGTTGAAAAAAAAAAAAAATTACACTTAAACATTCAGGGAATTATTTTAATTAACGACAATGATTTAATATGACCATTTATTTAGTCATAATACCTTAACAGCCAGCTTCCATAGATGTCAGCATAATCTAAAAACAATTATTCTAAATGTCCTTTTTATACTTTGGATTGTGGCAAAAGATGTTTATTATTCATTTGTGCCCAAAATCTGGAGGACAAACAAAATGCGAAGGTTGTGACCGATAAGTCTGACTATGAATAAATTGTAAGAAACCCATGGACGAGAACAATAATTTCATGCAGAAGAGCCAAACATTAACCATCACTAACACCTAAATAGAAGAAATCAAGGCTGTGGAGGGCTAAATTGAGGCAGTCATGGACTCTGGATGATAGGATGAAAGTGATTCAGGGAGGAATGAGCAAGCTGCTGTCCTCTTCACTGCGAGAAAAGCAGTGAAGCACTTCTGAGCAGACTGAACTGGAGGATCTAGATTTTTTGGCTACATCAGGATATTCTGTTCACGAATTTTAAGAAGAGAATATTTGACAAATGGAAGGCTTGAAATTGATCAACACCAAATCTGAAACAAGTCTTACTTTTTGCAGTTGTACAGAGATCCGTTTGCCTTCACAAAACATTCCCGATGCAACTGAAGGGACTCCGATAAGATTCCCCAAGTCCACCAAATAAATGCAGTCTCTTCCAGCAAACTCCAGTTTTAATGACCAAGCATCATTTCTCAATCTCTGAGGGTAAGTGTTTGCCAGAATGCTGCAAATAGGAGGCCAGAGATGGCTTTATTCCAGGAAGATTACATTAAAAATTAAAATCTGATGCTTGTGTGGCTTTAAAATTGACTTGATATTGTTTGGAACAAGTATTTCCTGATAAGGAAAAATAGGTCCAATTTACCCCATAATTGGTTAACATTTATGTTAGCTCTTTCCCCACATTTGGTTTAGTTTAATATCAAATTCTATTATATCCATTTTTATGTTAAACAGGGCAGTTGTCATCTTTCTGGAAATATACCATCTTTGCATCTGAAATTATCAACTCACATTGCTCTGTGAAAGTCAAACATCTCGCCGTAAAGACCAGAAAGGTTTGCATTTGTGGGGAAAAAATAAGTGTCTTCAAGCTTCAGAGAGATCTCACCACAAATCCTACTAAAGTGCAGACATAATGATGGAGCAGTACAATGAAAAAGAAATCAGAGAGATATGAGCTAAGAGACTGTCCATGCCGGGGCTGTCCATCTGAACCCTGAAACGCAGGAATCTGAGGGGAAATCATGAGTTGTGCTCTGCCACTGTAACATTCCTCATCCCATATGGCCTTATCCAGCACGCACTGTTAGCTTCAAAGAAGGGCTGTGACCCCTTTTCGTTAGAAATCACTTATGAGGGATTTCTCAAACTGCCGAAAGCTTCGCTCCATCTCCATTTCAAACAATACACAAAGCGGGCTTTTGTTTGGCTTTGAAGACGGCACATTGTGTGGGCTTTCTGTGCAGATCGCACCATGAAGGAGAGGAGAAGAAAACAAAGCTGTCTGAGGCCAAGTTAGTAATTGTCGGTATGTTGCGAGACTCTGAAAGTCACACTGGCACATCAAATAAAAACGTTGGGGTTGAAATTAAATAAGTGACAGAAGCATACCCTTTACATCCAAGTATTTACCTCCCCTGCAGCTAGTAAAAGCCATTATTGCTGCACATTACATGTTTCATTCAGAAAAGTGTCAGTAAAACTTGTTTCATTACCTGCTGAACAACATAGGTTTAATGTACTGCTCAAGCATGATGCATCATTTATTCAATACATTTAAACATTGTATCCCCTGGGAAGCAGCCTTGTGTATTAAAAGTCAATAACAGGGCCAGAGTAGCCTTCAGAGCCCGATAAACACAGCAGGTCTAATAATGCTGCTAATTCAGTAGAGTATAAAAGCTCTTTTCAACATACAAGTCAATTACCAATTGCATTTTCATGGTTTTGCTGGCTTAATGATACACCCCCAAACTTAGCTAGCTGCTCCTGCAGTCCTGAATCTTTGTTGCGTTTCCAACATTTTTATGTAGTAAGAATATAAGAACTACAGGCAGGTCAGTCCAGCTCTGCTGTTTTAAAGCTACAGTGTTGTAATGGGTGCAGTTTAACATCAACCTGCTGAAATCAAGGAAGATGTCATCAGGATGAGAGCAAATGTTGGACAAGGAGGTGTTCCCAAATGAAATGGTTCCATCTAGTGGGCACATTCAATAATATGTCTGTACCTTTATAGAAAATTTTGAAGAGATAAAACGACAATATAATTGAAAATTGTGTTTATTTAAACAATAGTGAACATCGTGCTTAGTTACATATTAAAATTAGGTGTTAAATATTTAAATAAAGTGTTCATTCGTTAAAAGAAGTGATCATCACTTTGTAGTTGTGCTCATGTGCAAATCAGCATCGTGTGTCTTTTGTGAGTGTTCCTGTAGAGAAAGGGAAAAGAAAAAATAATGATTCATGCACATTTCCCACATATACTGTACATTCCCAAAAGACTTCAGTGAACTTTAAAACGGAAATTAGTTTAACACACGAGTTTCAAAATGCATTACTGGTCAACTGGTTCCAAATGTCTGAAAACCCAGCATATTCTAAGCATTTGTGGTTAAAAGCCAGAGTCCACCAAGGCGAAGCAATACCTAAAGAATATAAAAATTAACGTTTAGGTATGACTGGTTAGGAAGTTTATGCTCTCACACTTCTGAAAAATACCTAAATCCTCTCATTTGTGGATGCATTTAGCTTTCTCTTGCATATAAAAAGTTGAATCTTGATCAAATTAAAAAAAATTAAAAAAAGTTTTATTTTTTAAACACCTAGAACCAAGAACCTACCTGATGTTCATGGACCAGATTCAACTCAGCATGATACAAAGCATGCAGAGTTAAAATCTAGGAACCTCACAACTCAAGAGCTTTTATTACAAGTCAAAATGATTCTGTGTAGCAGTGAAGGATGAAAGTCAAACCTGGAGCTTGTGGTTGTGAGTTCTTGTGCTTGTTCAAGTGAAGTGATCTACATTCATTCTTGGAGATGTCATTGTTGGGCATCACGTTCCTCCATGACTTTCCTGTTGGAGATTAAAAAGCTTACACTTAGAAATGTAGACCAATGACAATTCAACTGTCTTGTTTGAAAGCGATGGCTTACCAGTTTGCAATCTGCGCGTCAGACACGTCTGGTCCATGTTCCGCCATTTGTCGTGGAGGGATACTGGGATGACACAGTTCTCATCCATTCCCTGGAGGGTGTTGCTGTGTGGACAGTGGTGCAGCCTCTCCTGTGCAACAGGCTGGTGATGCGGCTCATCATACAAACAGTTCTTTTCCCTCAGCTTTGGGTATGTGGGTGTCGGACATTGGTTCAGATTTTGCTTGGATGCTAGAGGCCTCTTCAGGTCTGTGAGCTTCTTTGATTCGTCAGGTGCTCTCCACTTTTGGCCTGTGCAACATGAACTGTTCCCAGAGGAGTCTCCTTCCGTGTCGTGTCCATGGCAAGCACCACAAAGATCTGTATTAGAGCCTTTTCCTGTTTGCCGCCTCTTGCTGTGAGATTTACACGCTTCACATGTCGGCAGGAGCGTGTCGTTCCACTGCTGGAAGGGGACAGCTTTCCTTTTCAAGCTGCGTGGGTCTCGTCCTGAATTAGGAGATGTGCAAATCCTGCGTTTTGCCAGGCATCTTGAGCACAGTCGATCTGTCTTTGACACATAAGGACTGAATAAGTTCTCATTAAAGCTTCTGCTAATGCAGCACTCATGGTCAGAGAGACTTTGTCGATCCAACTTTTGTTTGTGAACATTAGGTTGTTCTCTGTATTCTAGGTCTAGTTTTCTTCTCCCGCGTATATCTAAACCGCGACTGCCATGAGGTCGGTTCTGCTTCTTGGGTGCGGATGGAAACTTCCTGGAGTAGTAGAAATTATCAAAATCTGAAAGCCAGTTGGTGGATGGGAGGTAGGCAGGTAACGATTCAAAGGAAGTGTCCTGATGATCCTGGCCATTTATTTCACATACATTTGGTTCAGCTGCCACATCTCCCATGCATGTGATCTCTGACAAACGAGTCCCTCCTAAGACAGGACCATCCTTCAAAGGACAGACACCTTCTGATGCCGTCTCATTCCCCGGACGATCCTCAGTGGGGACCATGTCTTCCACTTCTGGCAGAGTTGGTATGACAGACACAGCAATGATTTTTGTAGAGACGTCTTCTTTCAATATGAGCATTTCTGGTGCAGTCACTTCAGCTCCAGCAGTTTGTGCATCATTTACAGTGTTGATGGTGCCAGTCTGACTCTCCACTTGAGGAGGTGGTAATGTCTGGCCGACTGACCAGACTGTGGACTCCATCTTCCTCAGTTCATCCAGAAACTTGGGATCAAAAGGCAAGTGAACAACTTTCAGGTGTAAATTCTTAGAAGCCGTATTCTGATCATCATTCTTCATCTCAGCTTTATCAAAGGCTGCCTCCTGTGAACTCAAATTGACAACTGCCGTCACAGGGTCTCCCTGGTTCTTGGGCTGATCCAGAGAAGGGATCTTCTCATCAGCACTGGGTTTCCCAACCAACAGAATGTCAGGACACACTTGGAGAGCGTCCGTGCAGTCCTGTTCAGGAAAATGTAGCCTTTGGTCTTGCAGGACACTGCTCTGAAGGATGGAGCTACACTGGACCACATCCTGGGAAAAGCTCTGGGACATCTCTGCAGCCTCATGAGCATGCAGCAGCTGCAGTCCAACCGGGGTAGCACAGCACTGAATCCTCACTTCCTCCGTTTCAATCAGGAAGCCATTTGATGGAGTACCTTTGGTGGACGAGTGCACCACTTCCTGGCGCTGTGAAAGCTGCTCTTCATCGTGCACAACCAAGGCCGTTGGTAGCAGCCGAGAGGTTGGGATACTGGAGACATTTTCAGAAGGCTCGTTGGAATTTTGGGAGCTGGGCCTCTGAGCTGCTGCAAGAGGCTCAGTTTGTACCTCAGAGTTGGTCATTTCTTTGCCCGTAGAGTTTTGTTGGTAGCGGAACCTGCGGCTGTGATAGGCCATGGTCTGGTAATACTGAGAGTTGAGCATGCGTCTGTAGTCCATCAAGTGGAGGTGAGTGTGGGGGACGATAAAGCCCGGTGGCTCCATGTATGGGTTTTGCTGATAGTGGTGCATCATAGGCAGGCCATAACCTTAGGAGAATAAATAAAAAGGATGTTGGCATTACATGGGAAGAAAATTGGCATTTCTTTTCTTGAATTGGCCCTTTTACGTTGTGCTGAAGTTAAAGATTGAGTCAAGGAAACTAGCTATTTATCCTCTCAGAAGAACTAGGTACCGGAGGCTTGAATTGAGAGATTGCTTAGAAATATAATTAAAATAAAGCCAAACAAGCTTGGTTTTCAGTCGCACCTGAATCAATTTAGCCCAAGTTGCTTGCAAAAGTAAACACTGTCGCTTTAGGTCAGTGGAGCCTGACCCCATCAAAAAGGAAAAATGCAAATATATGTACACACACCTAAAGCCATTGTAAAAATGTGCTTTTATGCTATACAATTCCCATAAAGGGGAAACTCTTAAAAAGTCTGGTAAAAATGGTTGCTCACTCACTCCGTCCTATCCCCTCTTCCTCCCTTTTAAAAACCTCAGTAACCATTTTCATAAATAAATCCATGAAGCTCCAGTTCCCCTTCTTATCGAAAACACCATAATATAAAATGAGAATTAACTTGTGTGAAATCTGTCATGAAGCTATGTGCACATTAAGGTTTGGCTACACCTTGTTCAACCAAACAATAACCAATCAAAATGTTTCTGTAGTTCAAGCAGATCTCATGCTTATTTATAGTTTGTCATAGCACTTGCTGCATGAGGAAATACATACTGTGAACACAACATTTTAAGGAAAAGTAAAGAAAAAAGCTCTTTAGAATCAGAGGGACATTATGACTGTTGGATCTTACCTAAACTGGAGTAACCATAGTATGGGTTGTAGGACACAGGCATGGGTACAGGCCACTGCAGACTCTGCACAGGCAGGAAAGGCTGAGAGGGCTGCATATAGAAGAAAGGCTTGTGGTGATGCCCCTCAGGTCGAGGCGGACCTGAAGATGCTTGAGTTGCCTGATGGGGTCCCCGAGGCAGCTCAGATCCAAGCGACTGGTTTGGACCTCGAGGGCCCAGACCATAAGAATGCAGTAATGTTGACGTGGCTCCCTCCATATCTGAGCAAAAATAAGCATATTCCACATAAAAATGTACCAAATAGCTTTCATAGGAGTGGAAAAGGTTAGAAAAAAATAATAAAACTTACATGCAAATAGAAAACACCAGCAAACAAATCAAGAGCTTTTCAGTATGCGTCAGGTTGGAAACCAAAAGTCTGGACTCACAAACTAGAGACTAGCTTGTCAAATGCTAGACTGATTGGATGTGTTTCAGCTCCAGGTGACGGTGGTCCAATTAGAGATCTAATTAATGGGGGGAGTAGAAATGTCAGAAGCTGATGGCCTCTGATGACACAGGCCTGCAGCTTGTTGACTTAAGGTTAGGGGGGAGAGCTCCAATAAAGCTCAAAGTGGAACATCATATCCTCTTTTAGCATCTCTGTTTATTCAGTTGGCCCCCTGAGGAGAAAGTTAAAGTGAGAAGAGGTCATACCCATGGGGCATGATTATATTAGTAGTAGACATTTACATAAATGTCTGTGAAACCAACGCAGGATCCCCAATTTGAAGTAAAGATGGCCAACAAGCGCTGATCAAGTATGGTGAAAAAATATGTCTTATGGACTGTAAATTCAGTCGGTGATATTTTTCAGACATTACATTTCAAGAACAATAGAGAGTGTGATGGTATTTCGTTCTGATGATTCATGCAGTGCTCCAGCCTTCATGCTTAAAGATTTGGAGCAGAAACGTTATAGCTTTATACTGTGCCGATTCTCATGACTGTTTTTTTTTCAGATCCATTCATTTCCCCCCTTCCTTCCATACAGAGTTAGAAATAATCCAAAATTTGCAGGATGTGGGAATCATCTTATTTCTTTGTGCACCTTGCATTGATTTTCCCCAAATGTGGAAAAACCACAACCATTTTGTTACAGCACACAGCTTTATTTTATCATCATACACAGTAAAACAAAGATCAGGGCAAGGGGACCAACTCTTGAGGTTTATCCATTTTCATAAGTAAATATACATACATAAGTTTCAGATTGTTTTGAGAGGTGACCCCAGATGTTTGCCACCTCTTCTACTTGAACCACAGCTGGAGCAGACTCTTTAGGATCGGCATGGAAATATATATTGCTCCCATTTTCTTCTTGGTTTTCAAGATCATTGGACAGCTCAAAAACTAGAAAACACCTTTGACATTTGAAAACAAAATAGTAAAATTCATCAGTTCCTTACAAAAACTTTATTGTTCCTGCATATAGAAATAACCATTAAAATTCCTCATCAAAATAGACTGTAAAAACAATGTAATTCAAAATGCATACTCAGCTTTCTCACACTTCTGCTCCTCAGGTGTTAAAATAATGAGCCACACAGATCTTAAATTATAATATTTTATTGGACTGACCCCAAACAGTGGCTCAACCTCAAAGCCCAATTCCATTTGTGTGAAATTAATTTACTTTAATAGTGCACGAGAGTGTCACTGCAGAATTATTATTTTTGGGTCAGGCTTCTTTAAACAAAAAGATGCTTCTTGTGCAGTGCATTTCACCAGGTGATCCAAATCCTTCAACATTTACACCCTTCGGGGGGACCTGAGAAGAAGTTTTCAAAAAGGGTTAAAACTCAGTGTAATTGTTTGTTCATAAGCAATTGTTATTTTCACCTACAGTTCAATGTGCTTTATTCCAAAAACCAGTCGAGGGACGTCAACATTGCGGTTCCTTTCTCATTGCAGAGCCTGAAAAGTTTAAAAACCACCAATAACAGACATTGAATAAGATGAAAGGTTCTGCAGAACAAAACTACCTCTTTCCCAGTAAGGCGCTGGCTGTTCATCGTCATGCTTTTCCTCTCTTGATCCGTGGTACATCAGCTTCCACTTGGTGCTCGACTCTGTTCAGTTTATACGTCATTAGCACTGAGAAAATGCAAAGTTAAACTACAGATACTGTGTTGATGCTGCAGTGGACCACTGCATTTCTTGATGAAAGTGCCAGCTTATCCAAAATGCTGCAGCTGGAGTCCTGATCATATTTCCCCTCCCCTTGGAACTACTACCCCCCCCTCCCACCCACCCCCTCTCTACCTTTAAGATCAAGCTTCAAACTTTTCTTTTTGCTCTAACTTGGTAAGAAATGTCTCAGATTACCCTGAAATCCCCCATAGGTTTGCTGCTATAGGCCCAGACAGCTGGGAGAGCTCCCATCATGCACCTCTCCATGTACATGTGAGACTGTTGTCATCAACTTCCTTTTCTCCTTCTCAGAAGGTATCCCTGGCCTGCTGTTATGGAGGTGGAGGCTCAATGTTAAAGTATTCTTCATTCTAATTGACAGATTCCTCATGCACATTTAGGATAATGGAATGGACTAAAGATGTTTTCATGCACTCTGTTTCCTTAGCTAGGAAACTTTCTCTTCCACCTGGCTCAAACATTGCATCTTCATGTGGTAATTTGCCTGCATGGTGAAGCAGTTAGAAAAGTCACTACCTACACTCTGCTGTTTTGCCGCTCATTACATTCTCTAATGGCCATCATAATACAGGATGAGTCAAAAGTACAGGACATTGTTTTATTTCAAGGAAAAAGCTATTTGAATACCCCAGCAAGTAATGCGTGAGGGGGGCCATCTTGTGAGTCATGTCCAGAACATAGCAGCCACCTTGAAAGCCACCATATTGGATGAAGGGTAAGTTTTTCCAATGGGAAGGTTGTCATGTGGCATATCCACTGGATGTTTGTCAACTTTCTGCTTTATATTTTCTATTTTTAAATTCCAGTTTACACAAAGCATTGTTGGTTAGGATACTGATTCAAGAACCTGCATTACATTCTTGCAGCAAAGGATGGATGTGCCTGTAAATTCATGCCATGCAGTCTGAGATGACCAAACTGAGGCAAAAAATGATAAGATGAGAGTAATTTTTTAAAGCAGGATCTTAATAAATATACAAAACTGTCACCTTGCCGCTGTAGAGCTGCAGCTTGTCTCCTGGGAATCACTTCTCCATCTCCCCACCTCCCCATGTCCTCCGAGGTGAGATCTTTTTCGTCTGAACAGATTAGTTCACTAATCAGCAGAGAGGAACAACAATAGAATTTTGGCACAGCGGACACTTACCATGACATGTTCGACACTGCAGCTCACCGTCGTTCAAATGTCCCGTCTCACCTTTGGCTGCCTCTGACTTACAAACAATGTGTTCCTCCTGCTCTGGGCGGTCTGAGGGATCCATGTATGGGCTTTTCTTACACCACGTCTTAACATGTCTCTGTGGGAGTGGGTGAGTCTTCCTCGGTGAGGAGTGCTTCCTGACCACCACTCTGAGAGGCTGCTCACACCCTCGCCTGTATCTGCCGTCTTCTTCCGAATCTCCACCTTCGTCCATGTACCTCTTAGAGCTGTGAACTTTGCTCCTGCTTGTCCCTTTTGCCAGACTTTTCCCACAACAAGCGCACATAAAACCTTTAGAGTCGGGCATCCACGCCTCCTCAACGTCACCGGTAGCCGGAGGGGACCCTCCGAAGACCTCAGCGAGCCTCCTGCCAGAGTACACATGTTTGGGGAATAGGTCCACGTCATCCAGATCCGTGGAAAACATTTCGTCTCTGGAGGAGAGCTCGTCCAAAGACGGACTGAGCACGCTCATGCGCTCTTGTGTCGTCTGCATGGGGAGGTAGTTGTAGTGGTAGGGGTCGGTCGGGGAGGAAAGGCAGCCTGCTCCAGGTGTCAAAACATCATTAAAGGGGAGTTTGAGGATCTGGCAGCTTTGGTCAGCTTTGTCTTCATCACAAGATGAAAGATCTCCCTTTGAGACCTCATTACGGCTTTTAGAGTCATGAAGCGCTGGCTGATTGGAGGTAAAGGAGAGTGACTGCGAGGGCTCCTCAGCATCACATCTTTGAACACTCGAGTCTGTCACTGAGATATTTGACTGGATACCTGTGACATCCTCTTTCAGAGGGACAAAGTGTTCCTCCGATACCGATTGCTCAAGCTTAGGACACTCCTCGTGGACAGAGGAGCTATCAAGTGGCAGCTCCTCCTCCAGTGCCCCTGACCAGCACCCCTGAGGGCTCAGGGGGTCTAGAATCATCTGGCTGGAATCACTGTTGTACATCATAGCAGTCGAGTCGCTGTAGGCCACAGCTGGGGGCCCCAAACAACTGCTGTGAGGAGCTGAAGCCAGGCTGGGATCCTGCTCCTTTTTCTTTTCCTCTCCTGGAGAGAACACACTAGAGGACTGAGACACAACACCAGAGTCGAGCTCTCGGTCAGCACTCTGCAGCTCGTTGGCTCGAATCTTATCCAAGCACTCAATGAGCTTCGATATAGCATCACTGGGGTCAGTTTGGGCCTCCGAGCAGGCCATTTCTCGACGCCCGTGAGGCTGTGGGTGGTGCTGCTGCTGACGAGGCATGTCTCCCCAGGCGGGTGTGTGGAAGCGAGGCTCAAACATTCGTCTGTAATCCATTGGATATATAGGGGCGTGTGGTAAAACAAAGCCAGGGTAGGGCATATATGGGTAAGGAGGCATGTAGGGACGGCCAAAGTTAAAACCTAGAATGTATAAACAGTGGAAAACATACACTGAAATTTCCTGCTACATTTATGAGTTAATTGCCACAGATAGGTAGGTTTAAATAGTCCAATACCTCCAGGTAACCCATACTGACTGTATGGGTTGTTGAGCTGCATGTGCTGGTAGAGGTAATAAGGCTGAGACGGTGGCTGAACATAGAAAAAAGGTCTGGAATGGTTATTTCTCTGCGCCCCACTGCCCATTGAATGTTGCTGTTTGCTGATATCTACAGGAAGAGATCAAATATTAGGTTTAAGTTAAATACGATATTGTGTGTTATAAAAGCTTTGACACTTGACATTTGTCATAAAAACATGTTTATCAAAGGAAAGCTCTTTACCGTCCATTTTCATTCGCGTTCACGCTCAGCCTGTTGGGAATAAAACACACAGAGGAATTAAACCTACTAAAAAAACATCCCCCAGCTTTTGGGAAAATGAGGCCAACTTATTTTTCTTCCCCTTTTTAAGAGCTAATTTATATTTAAACCAACACACGTAGATACGCTTCACTCTGAGCACCACGTCACTTTCTGCTAAGAAAAAAAAAGCAGAAACTGCTCGATTCATCACTCAAATGGGAAACAGCCGCGGGACCATCAGCGCAGCTGCTTTCAGGTGCAGACGGACAAAACAGCCCTCCAAATGACGACGTTCACTTTTCGAAAAATGAAAATAAAAAATTATATGAAAAAAAAGAATATACGCATTTTCTTCCCCTCAAAAACATCTAAAACATCTCAAACCTGCAGGACAGCGGCCCTGGGCATGTTGGACAACATTTGTTAACTAAAGACTAAATGATTTGATTGATCGTTATAAAACGTTGTTATTCCTATTTACCAAATTAGAAGAATAAAAATGCAGACAATTTTGAATGAAATTGAATGAAAATGCATTCCAACCATGTTTTTTGTTTTGTTTTTATCACAATGATAAATAATTTGGATTTCGGACCCATCTCCAGTTGCAGTACCCCCATTTGTCCCCAGGATGTCGATGTTTCCCTGTCCAACAGGACAGGCCGCTCGGTATGAGTGCATGCGCACTATCCTCATTTGGCCTCTAGTTTTTGAGGCGCTTATGATGCGCTGAGTGGTTGTCCGCTGCTCTGCTTTTCCACCCAACTATTTACTGTATCACTTCGGTTTGGGCAGCTAGCTGTACCCTGTCCGCTAACGGGAAAACCCAGTGACGGTTCGGTTTGCGGCGGCGTCACCGTGGAGCCCTGGATTCCGGCTGTTGGAGCGGTTAACGGTGGAAGTGGCTCTCTCAGGTAGCTAGCTTCGCTCATTTAGCCGTTTTCACTGTGTCTGCTAGCAGCATGACCGCGCTCGTAAGGTTGTTACTATCCTGTCTTTGAATTTACAGTTACTCGTTGGCTTGATGCTTAGCGGACGCGTAACTGTCTAACAAACAGTCAGGGTGCTTGAAATGATTGCCTTCCTCATTAAACGTTACCGGAACTGTGTTGATTACGAAAAGCTAACGTTGCTAACTTGCCGAGGGTGTAAACCAGCTGAGCGTTGCTGCTTAAGCTCGCTATATAATTTCTCATGACGCTAACTGATGAGCAATATTACCTAATTGAACAAATCCATGAATAATAGTATAGTGCGACGCAGAACCTCTGCTTTTGATGCTTGTCTGTGTTAACCCCAGTTTATCGTGTGTAGATTGTGTGCGGGCTTTATTTTGGCCAAAGAGGAAAGTGCAAGGGTAGTTAGCGAAAACATGCTAACCTAGCTAACGAGCATTTTCTAATAAACAAATATGATCGATAGGCACTCAGTATTCCGCCAGTTTTGCTTCAACCCAAGCCACGTGGTTCTTAGAGAGAGGGTTAACACAACAGAGGACGATGGGTGGCGGAATGAAAAGCCATAAAATCTTGCTGAAGTTGGTGTGTGGGGATGGCCTAACGTAGGTGAAGGATGCTTTTTGGTGCACGCATGTACACATCACTCCATAAAACCTAACGTTGAAGACGAAAGGTCGACACAAGCGAAAACCATCAAACTATTAGAAATAAAATGTAAAGCAAAAATCATTAGTCAAAACTTATAAAGTTACCTGCCTATGCCAAATACTAAATCAGAAGTCAAGACGAATTCAGATTACTCCTGACTTTTGTATTTATGTAATTGTTTTGTATCTTCTTATCTGATTGTGCATAATAGAAGTGTGCCTTCGTTCTGATGGCTTAAAGCATGATCTTCTTATTCTGATTTAAATTAAGTTTCATGTAGCATTGAGTCGTCACAAAGTCACTTAAGTACAGTGATTTGCAGCAATATATATATATACACACACACTCCTCATATATTGAAAGGAAATGAGTTCAGTCATTCACTGAAACATGATAAAACTTAAGTATAGAACATATGGTACAGTCAATAGTTGTTTAATTCAAAGTAGATATTTGTTCTGAGCTCTTTTTTTAATTTTTTATTACAGTCTAAACCTTGAGACAAATTGGCTGCCCGTTGTTTCAGCCTCTGTCAGATGATCCCATACTGCTTCATAAATGTTTAGGTTCTGGGGAGGATTCATCCATCCATCAGACCTGTTGCCACTGATTTTCAGTCCACTTCTCGTGCCCTTTGGCGTAGGTCAGCCTTTTCTCCCTGTTTGCCTTCCGTAAGAATGGCTTCTTGACAGCTACTATTCCATGGAGAGCAGTTCTGATGAGGCTCGGGCTGACAGGAGATGGATCAGCTGAAGGTCCAGAGGCATCTCTCAGGTCCCCTGTCAGGTCTTTTAGCCTCTTTCTGAAAGACATCACTTTCATATCCTCTTCATCCGCTGTATGTTTTTTTTGGCCCAGCACTTCTTCCTTTGTCGTCCAGTTGTCCAGTTTGCTCAAATGTTCTAAGGACACACTGTACACCATGCTGAGACATGCCAAGTTTTCAGCTAATGGATCTTTGAGAATCAGCTTGTTGCAGTGAAATGCCACCTTCTGTCTTTCAAACTGTGTTGTCTTTGTTTTTTTTCATAAAAGAAACTGAAGAAATAGGAACAAATGATGTCTTTGCAACAGGCTGTTTGTGAAAAAGTCTGTAATGATCCCAATTTAAGACGCTTCTTAGCAAAGTTGTCTTTTACGTGTAGACACTTGACTTTGAAGCCCTTTTTTAAGCAGGAATGATTTATAAAATTGGATTTATGTGATTTAACAATGAAAAATACAGATTCTCTTGAAATAGTCAGCTTTAAAGACTGAACAGAAAATGGCAAAAGGAAAAAAAGGGAAATAACTCAATAAAATTCAGAGAAATATTCCTAAGGACCATTTTGAAAGATTACAAGTCTGACTGCTTCGAAATTAAAATAAAAAGTCTGGTGACTGTTTAATTGCAGTGTTTAGATTTTCTGTTAAAGAAATCTGAACACTTCCGGGCAGTTTGGTGCTCCTGTGTCTGCTGAACAATTTATTTATTTTGTCTGCTGTTTTCCAGATGAGCTCCGATGTAGCGGAAGGAGTCACGCACCCTCTACCTCCGTTTCTCTGTGCCTCGCTGAAGGACCTCAGATGACAGATAGTCACAAAAGGAGAAACCCCTTCCTCACCCCAGATCCCCCCCTTCCTTCGGATTCCTGACGGAGACCTAGGTCGGCCACAGCGTTATCATCTCAGCTCAGCTTTCAGCTCATCTCCAGCAGCAGGGCAGTTGCCTCACAGAGTTAAACACCTCCACTTGGACCAGTGGAGGTGTTGTGGGGCGCATTTATTTTTTAAGATTATTGATAAATACAATTTTTTTTTTTCCTGGCTGGTTTGAGTCCGGTTCTGCCGGCTGTTAGAATTTTTAAAACTGGGGCGCGATTCATGGGATGCAACCATGTCGGATCTTAGTGAGCGCAGGCCAGTCAACACGGACTACGCTGTCTCCCTGCTGGAGCAGCTCAAGTTCTTTTACGAACAAAAATTACTGACTGATGTGGTGCTGCTGGTGGAGGACACAGAGTTCCCCTGTCACAAGATGGTCCTGGCCACGTGTAGCTCCTATTTCAGGTGAGTGTGGAATAACACATGCTGTGGCCGCTTTGTTCTTGGCTCTCCGGCTGTAACCAGGTTCTTTGTGTTGCGTTCAGTCCATTATGTCAGTAAATCAGACCCGGAGCTGCATTCTGCAGCAGTTCCCTGTCTCTGACATATTTCTAATCTAAAAAAAAGGAATCTGCCACTAACAGAAGCTTTACCCAAGGCCTCATTCATACACACAGTGGAGTAAACGCTGCAGCCTCTGTGGGGAAAAGTCCATCTGTACATGACGGCACTCATGCAGCATTTAAACACACCCACCTCTCCCATGTGCTTCCCACACACTGTTTATCTAGTGTGAACACGCAAAGCATTTCTCCCTACAGGGTTTAGAGATGTCACAGTGCTTCCTCATTCTGTTTCCTCTCTGTTTTCGCACGCGTCGCCTGAAGTAAAAAAGGGGGCGGACGCTGAAAGTCTGGTCACGTACATCTTAGTGGGGGAGAGAAGGGGGGTGAGGAAGAGGGGAGGAAAGGGCAAGAGGAGGGGTAAAAGAAAGCCCGCAGGGTTACGTAATTCAGCTTGGCAGGTTTAGACCCTGCTGTGTTGAGCACGGAAACGAACCCCTGTTTGTGTTGTTTAAGCAGTCACTTTTAAAGTGGGCTATAAACTGCCAAAAGGCGTGCTTTACAAAGGATCTTTTATCTACTATTTACGCTCTAATAGCCCTGCTGTCCTGTGAGTTTTCAGCCTATCCATCTGTAGTATAGAGATAGGACGTCTCTCTAATTTTTGAAACACAGGGCGGGTCAGTTCACAGAAAATCCTTGAGGACTGTTTAATAAACATACACTATATTGCCAAAAGTATTTGCTCACCTGCCTTGACTCACATATGAGCTTAAGTGACATCCCGTTCCTAATCCATAGGGTTCAATATGACGTCGGTCCACCCTTTGCAGCTAGAACAGCTTCAACTCTTCTGGGAAGGCTGTCCACAAGGTTTAGGAGTGTGTTTATGGGAATTTTTGACCATTCTTCCAGAAGCGCATTTGTGAGGTCGCACACTGATGTTGGACGAGAAGGCCTGGCTCTCAGTCTCCGCTCTAATTCATCCCAAAGGTGTTCTATCGGGTTGAGGTCAGGACTCTGTGCAGGCCAGTCAAGTTCATCCACACCAGACTCTGTCATCCATGTCTTTATGGACCTTGCTTTGTGCACTGGTGCACAGTCATGTTGGAAGAGGAAGGGGCCAGCTCCAAACTGTTCCCACAAAGTTGGGAGCATGGAATTGTCCAAAATGTCTTGGTATGCTGAAGCATTCAGAGTTCCTTTCACTGGAACTAAGGGGCCAAGCCCAGCTCCTGAAAAACAACCCCACACCATAATCCCCCCTCCACCAAACTTTACACTTGGCACAATGCAGTCAGACAAGTACCGTTCTCCTGGCAACCGCCAAACCCAGACCCGTCCATCAGATTGCCAGATGGAGAAGCGCGATTCGTCACTCCAGAGAACGCGTCTCCACTGCTCTAGAGTCCAGTGGCGGCGTGCTTTACACCACCGCATCCGACGCTTTGCATTGCACTTGGTGATGTATGGCTTGGATGCAGCTGCTCGACCATGGAAACCCATTCCATGAAGCTCTCTGCGCACTGTTCTTGAGCTAATCTGAAGGCCACATGAAGTTTGGAGGTCTGTAGTGATTGACTCTGCAGAAAGTTGGCGACCTCTTCGCACTATGCGCGTCAGCATCCGCTGACCCCGCTCCGTCAGTTTACGTGGCCTACCACTTCGTGGCTGAGTTGCTGTCGTTCCCAAACACTTCCATTTTCTTATAATACAGCTGACAGTTGACTGTGGAATATTTAGGAGCGAGGAAATTTCACGACTGGATTTGTTGCACAGGTGGCATCCTATCACAGTTCCACGCTGGAATTCACTGAGCTCCTGAGAGCGACCCATTCTTTCACAAATGTTTGTAAAAACAGTCTGCATGCCTAGGTGCTTGAATTTATACACCTGTGGCCATGGAAGTGATTGGAACACCTGATTCCGATAATTTGGATGGGTGAGCAAATACTTTTGGCAATATAGTGTAGCTGGGACGGTAGCGAGCACCTCTGAACTGTTTGTGTGTCAGTGGGGTGTGACGCTGAATCAAAGCAAACTCTCAGGAGGAGATTTTACTTCTGGATTCTATGAAAATGTAAATAAGCAAGAGTGTTGCCTGTTTTTATTTCTATACCTTGGTTAAATAATAGTCTTTGTTATTGTGTGGGGAAACCCTGGCTGGTTCATCCTGCCAGCCAAACTCAGAGGCACAGGTCTTATTCATGTTAAACTGATCATAATGCCGATGGAACGATAAAGGACGATTGTGTTCAGGATGCTGTTTAACACTCACACTTTTAATGGTGAACAGTGGTCCTTCTGTTCTGGCCAGTATTCAACGGTTCTTTAACAAATCAGTGAAATAAGTTTATTTCTGACCAAAATTATTATTACTCTGTAATGTTTCAATACCATCTAAGGGTACTTTTGGTCATTGGTGCTTGGTCATTGATTGGCATAAGATGTTGTTAAAAAACAAAATGAGTATTTTTTGCAGATATTTCACTATGAAAACAACCTCTGCCAAGTCTGATCTTTAAATTAGAAAACAGATCAGCAACCGTGACTTTAAATGTTTTAACTTCCAGACTATGGAGTAGCAAACATAGGCTCAAAAAAGAAGTAGTTTTCTACATTTTAGCGAAGCTGCTGACATCTTTGTTGTCGTGGTCCTCCTGCAGGGCGATGTTCATGAGTGGCCTGAGCGAGAGCAAGCAGACCCACGTCCACCTGAGGAACGTGGACCCGGACACGCTGCAGATCATCATCACCTACGCCTACACGGGAAACCTGGCCATCAGCGACAGCACGGTGGAGCCGCTCTACGAGACCGCCTGCTTCTTACAGGTCCGCAGACCTGCTCCGCCGAGCACTAATCGTCTTTTAAATCCTGCCTTTATGCGTGAACCTCTGCTCTCTGTTTGGCCCAGGTGGAGGACGTCTTGCTGCAGTGCAGGGACTACCTGGTGAAGAAGATCAACGCTGAGAACTGCGTCCGCATGCTGAGCATCGGCGACCTTTTTAGCTGTAGCGAGTTAAAGCAGAGTGCCAAGCGGATGGTGGAGCACAAGTTCCCCATGGTGTACCGACAGGACGCCTTCCTGCAGCTGTCCCACGAGCTGCTGATAGACGTCCTGAGCAGCGACAACCTCAACGTGGAGAAGGAGGAGACGGTGCGGGAGGCGGCCATGCTGTGGCTGGAATACAACATGGAGGCGCGCTCGCAGCACCTGTCGTCCGTGCTGAGCCAGATCCGCATCGACGCGCTGTCCGAGGTGACGCAGCGCGCCTGGTTCCAGGGCCTGCCCCCCAACGACAAGTCCGTGGTGGTGCAGGGCCTCTACAAGTCCATGCCCAAGTTCTTCAAGCCTCGGCTGGGGATGACCAAGGAGGAGATGCTCATCTTCATGGAGGCCATGTCGGAGACGCACGGGGAGAGTTACGTCATGGCGACGTCCGTGCCGACCACCATTGTGTGTTACAGCCCCCAGGCCGAGAAGGTCTACAAGCTCTGCAACCCCCCAGGTGACCTGCAGAAGGTGGGCACCCTCGTTACTCCAGACAACGACGTCTTTATAGCCGGCGGACAGATCCCGCTCAAGAATTCCATCACCAACCACGGGAAGAGCGGCAAGCTCCAGGCGGTGTTCCGCTCGGTGGATAGCTTTTTCTGGTTCGACGCCCAGCAGAACGCGTGGGTGCCCAAAACCCCCATGCTGTGCGCCCGAATCAAACCCTCGCTGGTCTACTGCGAGGGCTACATCTATGCAATCGGCGGCGACAACGTCGGGGGCGAGCTGAACAAGCGCACGGTGGAGCGCTACAACTGCGAGAAAGACGAGTGGAGCATGATGAGCCCGCTGCCCTTCGCCTGGAACTGGAGCACGTCGGTGGTGGCCCACAACTGCATCTACGTGATGACGCACGACCTGATGTACTGCTACTTCCCCCGGGCCGACACCTGGGTGGAGATGGCCATGCGCAAGACCAGCCGCTGCTTTGCCTCGGCGGCGGCCTTCGGGGACCTGATCTTCTACATCGGCGGCCTCCACGTGGTCAGCAACTCGGGCATCCGCATGCCGACCAGCACCATCGACGGCTCCTCCGTCACCGTGGAGATCTACGACGTCAACAAGAACGAGTGGCGCCTGGCCGCCAACATCCCCGCCAAGCGCTACTCGGACCCGTGCGTGCGGGCCGTGGTGCTGCTCAACTCGCTGTGCATCTTCATGCGCGAGACTCACATGAACGAGCGCGCCAAGTACGCCATCTACCAGTACGACGGCGAGCTGGACCGCTGGTACCTGCGGCAGCCCGTGTCCGAGCGCGTGCTCTGGGACCTGGGCAAAGACTTCCGCTGTGCGGTGGGGAAACTCTACCCCTCCTGTTTAGAGGAGTCTCCATGGAAACCCCCCACCTATCTGTTTTCCCCTGACGGAGCGGAGGAGTTCGAGGTGGACGGCGAGCTGGTGACGCTGCCTCACGTATAGCTGTCGGCCCCGCCTTCCTTGACCTCCTGGAGTCTGTAGCACTGAGGGACGAGCGTGAGAGGGGGGTGGGCCTCGGATCTCTGCAAAATTAAAAGGGTTTGATAACTGTTTTGTGGCGGGGTCTCTGGACTCAGAGAAATCTGACTATTTCTGTTTTTTGTTGTTTGTTTGTTTTTTTTTGTCAGATATCATGTCTGTCATACTGTTTCTACAATGTGATATTCTAAACAACTAATTTCAAGATGGGAGGATGATGACGATGATGCACTTAACTGGTACCAAAATCCCATCTGGCCCCTTTTGGACTCGGCTTCCCTCTCCACTATTTCCCTCCTCGTATTAATGATGAAGAAATGCTCCAAAAATTCCACCCTGACAACCTCAAACATTTCATATCTGCACACGTTACTGCTTTATTGTTAAAGATCCTCACACTGGATTGATACCTTTCTAAGACGTTGTGGATGATATTGATGCGCCTGTCTTTAAATTATAAACACAAATAAAACTATGTAAACTTTGAGCTCAGCGCCATTTTGCCTCAAAATGGTCGATTCTGAGGTTTTAAGCCCAGTTTTTCACAGTAAAAGCAACTGAAAAGCCACAAGACGTCAATTTTAAAGAGGCTGAAAAACTCTGAAATTAGAGCAGCCCATTCGTATTTTGAGTGTCCGGTCTTTCCATTTCAGATTATGTTTTTTTGCCCTCTGTGTTTTACGGTGTGAACGCTTTTCAAGGTTCTGGTAAATCGAGATCTTGTGGTAAAACATTTAAGACTTTTTGGTAGTTTCTAAAGTCGATAAATTTTCAAAAAGGGAAAAAGAAGTTCCCAAAGTTCAAAGAAACTTCTTCAAATGTATTTTTCTTTTTTCTTTTTTTAAGTTAGTAATGAAGAAGCACGTCTTTCCTTTGGGAGTCACAAAAAACGGGATGCTGTTCCTCTTAAGGCCTTTCAGATGGACGGAGGCGTGGAGGTGTAGAGAGAGGGTGACTGCAGGTCCAGACACCCGTCGGCTCGCTTCCATTCGCTGCCCCCCCGCCCCGGCCGCCTGCCGGTCACATCTGCTGTGCACAGGTCTTCCACACGCAGCAGCTCATGCCTCGCTCTGTCCGTCGTCACATGACCACGACGCTCCGCTTTTCTTTCCACTCGCAGTACAAACCGGTTCTGGGCTCATTTAATTTGTAAGCTGCTGAAATACATATATAAATATAAGTATAGAAATGATTAAATATATATTTTTCATATATTGTTCATATGTTCAAAGACAGCTGTTCTAATGTGTGTGGGGTGGGGTGAGGGGGGGACAGCTCTATTTTGTATTGGTGTTTTTTTTTTCTCTTTTTTTTTTTTAAATATCCGATGTTACTGTAGCGTGATAGTTGGTAAGTCTCCTTTTTCCTATCGGATTCAATCTGAGTGAATATTAAGGAAATCTTGCTGCTGATCAGTCGTGATAAGACGGGCTGGCCCAGAGCTGTTGCTATGGAAATCATCCCGGCAACCACTACCATCAGTGGAGAGGATTGGGGGGGGGGGGGTTCTTCTTTTTTACCTTTAAAGACATGAGCACAGGTGCTTCATGACAAACCTTACTAGCATGTTTGGCTGCATCATTTTCCTTTGGCACTGTATTTTGAATGAACGTTAATTTATTAAAAAATATACCAAAAACGTTTCTGGACATAGTCTGTTATTTCTTCGGAGGATTCAATTACCGTGACGACCTGGGTTTGTGATTAAAACGGAGCTATAATTTGTAGTCAAATTTTCATACAAGTAATACAAATATAAACCTTCTTAAAACTGGGGGTTCGGTCGGTTGAACCCTTCATTCAGCGTTTCCTCTCAGGCAAAAGCAGCTTCTGAAGTAGGAGTTTGTTAGATTGTCATGTCGCAGAATAAATTCCAGACAAAACACAACACAAAAGCAGCTCAACAACCCACTGAATTGTAGGAGCAAACAAAGAAAAAACCAATTTAATACAGCAATTTAGTGTAGAATCATGTCCATCTCCAATACACAGAAACATCTGTCAGGAAAATATTCTGTCCACAAAAAATATTTTAAATACAAAATGAAACGATATCTGGATATAAAAAAAACAACAACAAACAGCTGACATTTTGAACGTACTTCAGAAATCATAATCCAGAAAATGTTGGACAGCTTCTTTGAGGCATGTAGATGACGAAAACCTTTAAAAGCAAACAGCTTGCTCACTGGACCTTTTTAAATCAACCACAGTTGAGTACTCGTATCATGGAGGAAAATTATTTTGTAACCACCTCAGAATTACAGTCCCACAGGGTAAAGATCCACAAGAACAGTATATAATGAATACTTTGTGCAAATTAACAGTGGTCCACTTGTTCCAGTATTGTCATGAGAAAACACAGATATTTCACGATAACAAGTTTTACAACAAATAAATAATTATCTGTCTTTGAGTTTACTAAATATAGACCTTCAAATATATATTCATTTATGTATAGAGACAGCAAAGTAAAAAAAAAAGCCTGGGTGAGAGATACAAACGGCTCACTGGAGCTTCCTTCATGATGGATGGAGGTGCCATAAAAAAAGATGCCTGTGATAATATTGTGATTGTTCAGTGGATACGCGGATGCATTTTTCAAGGGTTCATCCCTTTGACACTTGTTAACTTCTCCCTTTTTGGATGCAACATGCGTGACTGACAAATTTAGATTTTCTTAGAATCTTAAAAAACACAAAGGCAAAAAAGTTTATTTCTATATGAACCAAATGTTTATTAAGCTTTCGAGTTTTATTTCACATTTCAGTTGTTTATCATGTTCTGTGAGCCACCAGGTTGCTTTATACTCATCTTTAAAGATAATAATGGTTAAAAATATAGACCTGCTGCTATTGATGAATACTTATGAGCTTATTAAAAAAAAACTAACCTTCTTCTGACTTAACTGTTAACCAGAAAGGGCAAAAATATTTTGCTTTGCTCCTTTTAGAATAAAAATGTACAAAAAAATACTTTCACAAAAATAACTATAAAGGGTGACATTTCAAAACCAAAAAATCTTGCAACCACAAAGACGAAAAAAAATACAGCAAAAGAGAAAAGTAAGCCAAGTAAGATGGGTATTTTGAACACATTTTCAAGATGTTATTTTAAATCTCGCCGATAAAATTTACCATCTCACTCTATTTCTCCAAATCCTTGATTCTCTAAATTATTGTGTTCTTGGCACAATACTATGCCTGTGCCTTAGCCTTGTTTTTACCAATCATTTACTTAAATAAAAGAAAAACATTGATAATCTGAAAAAACTATTAAAAAATGTACCTGAGACTGCTGAAAGTATACAGCACTTTAGCAAGCTAATGCTATCAAATTACCATCACTTAGAAGCACTCTTTGTTTTTGTAACACTTGTGTATGTTGTGTAATTTCATCATAACCATGTCATATGGAAATTTTTGTCTAATTTATTTATTTGGATTTAATGTTTTCTAATCGTGGTTTTATCCCAATTTTCTAACAACTCGTCTTATCTCGCTATCGTTGAAATGTTTTACCTAAAAACTCTTGTTTAACTTTTTTTTTTTAAACAAACACGTTTACTTAGTTTATCTTTTTAGCTTCCGGCACTTAGTTGAATACCCCCATTTTTTAGACATTCTGCTTAATATAAGATAAAATCTTATTCTTGTCTTTTCCACATGCAAAATGTTAGTTTAGTAACCCTTTTGGACGTTATAAAAATGTATAAAGAGTAATAAACAAACTGTTAGTCACGCCTATACTTAAGTCACTCAAGATGGACTTTATTCATTATTATACTTTAACACTATACAACCACAATATTACCACAGAGGCACCGATTAACATGAGCCAGACTGAATTTTAATCTGTTAAAACTTTTAGATTGCCATAGCTGGCATTACTGGAGTCAAATCTTGTGACCAAGGAGCAATCTCGATATTGCTGCAACAGAGAAGTTAGCTAAATATTGAAAAAGTGTACACCACACACCCAAAGACAGCATCTTAAGCGTCTCACCGGAGCACGTCCATCAATATCAGCCGCAGCTGCGACACAAAGGGGGCCAGACAAATGTAACCTCCTCAATTCTCCGGTTTGGATCAAAAGCAGTGGCAGTTTCCGCCTCACAGTGCTTCCTGACTGTGCAGTTTAACAGCATTTGCTACCTTCCTGTCTGCTGAGACGTCCGGATAATAGGATGGTGGAAAAAGTTCAGAATCTCCGGTCAAGGGGTCAGCTGGGTTTTAGGGGTTCAGACTCCCACCTGAACTTGAGAAAAATTCTGCTCGTTCTTCAACAAAACCACCTTCCAGGCTTCTGACTCTAAGGCTACGTCATCGGGAAGACAAAGAGGCAGAGCAACACGGACCGTTATGGTTTCACCTCGGTGGCGGGCTCCGGACCGGTGGGGGAATTGGCTGGAGGGGGCTGGGCCAGCGTGGAGAACCAGGAGGACATGGCGGACTTGGCGCTGGTCAACGCTCCGCCCACGGACTGACCTGAGAGTTGAAAATGGATATTTTACTATATTTTACTATACTTTTATTTCTGTATTGTATTACTGTATTGTATTCAACCAAAGTCTTGCTCTGCTGTCACTCAATCAATTTCTGGTCCACAAATGTGCACAAAAAGTGTTAGTTAACAGTGTCTAGTGTGTCCTGTTTGGTAGCTAGTAGCTAGTATGTGGTCAGATGTCTCGTTCGGGTGCAGCTTCAAGACTTTCTTACCTACGGCCTTCCCGGTCAGGACCACGCTGCGACTGGTGGTCATCATGGCGTTGCCGATCTTCTTCCCTCGCTCGCTGTTTTGTACCGAACTGCAGAGAGAAAAAAAACAGGATCACAATCCAGAAATGCACGTCCTCCTCATGGGCACCCATGCTCAGCTATATGGTCTGGGGAGGGATGGTTGTGTTCAGCCAAACTGCTCCCAGTAAAACCAGTTTAACCAGCATGGAATGCATCCTGGACAGTCCTGGATCTCTTGAAATGTACAGTCCAGAAAAAAATGTTGGTTTTCCTATATAACCATCTCTCCATGTTAAATTTGTTGCTGTGTCGTTTTATTTATTAGGCCATTGATATATTTCTGATTTTATTTACAATTCTCTCAGTTTCAGTCCTTCATATTATGGACAGGTGAAGTGGAAGGTGTTGGGTTTTCAGTAGGCCAAAACAAATAAATATGAAAATAAATATGCTGAGAGTTAAATTGTCTTCCTCCGACTGCTTTATGTATTTGACGGTCTGAAAAATTTCCTGCGTTTCCGGCTGAAGTTTGTGATTTTAAAGAAGCAGCTAACAGACCTCCAAAGACTCCAAAGAGGACAGAGAGGATGTAAAGTTTGCGAATGCAACCGGACACCAGAGAAAGACGTGTGCTGCTGTCACTCCTCCACGTTGACCGGCATCAACATGACACCGCGGCCTGGGCCCGGCCGGCCACCCGGGGGCCGTCGCTCACGGGACGCGCAGGGGATTCACCAAACAAACTGCGGTTGCTAGGCACCTGCTGCGGGAATGTGGATTCCTGTCACCTCTGTGTTTAAAGCTTTGGAGACTCTCCTCTTGTTTTTCTTCTCTCACACGTCTTTGACACAGAAATAACAAAAATGCAGTTTACGGGGTCCCAGATTATTCCACGTTTCTCTAAATGGTCACACCTTGCACGTCATCTAATCAAAAAAAGATGATAAAACTCGTTATAAATTGGTAATAATCACAGCCAGAAAGGGGTTGCCTGTTGTCCAGATGTGTGCCCCAATAAAAATGTTCAGAGCATCGTGAAGAGGAAAAAAAATCAGACTCAAGGACCACAGGCTCCTAAGCAGATAAAATCTTGGACTTAACAGAAATGGAGATAGAATCCTTTGAATTGTCATTAAAAGAAAACTGATCGAACTAAAAGGTAAATATGACAATGACTAGAAAGTGTAGTATAGACACTATAAACCACATTTTTATGGAAGACTTATATCAAATAGATATCTGATAAACTAATACTGTAATATTTAAAGATCCTGGAGTCTTTTGAGGTCAAATGTGGTGAATCTCTGGCGGATTTATGGCTCAGATCTAAATTTAACAGCCACCTTCACGCTGGTCTCAAAGAAACAAAAAGCAGCTCTCTGCCTGAGCGCATGTGCACGTTTCCCCGTAACAGGCTGACCCAAATAAACAGGTCCTCGTGCAGCTGACAATAAAGACAGATCCTCTGACAGCGTGTGCTCGTCACATGACCGCCACTAGCTGCTTTTTGTCCGCGGGGGGGGGGGGGGGGGGGGGGGGGGCATTGAAAAGGTTGCCCTCCACAATCAAAGGGAGGTCAACTGTAGGGGCTCGTTTTTTTTCTGGGGTGGGTGAACTCAGCGGACACTTTTACTTTCCAAGCAAACACCCTGACGAGCGGGACCCGTCAGGCTGGTGGGCGTCTGCCCCACTGACCCCTGAATCCCCCCGTGGCCGTCTCTCGGGTTGCAGGAGGGGAGTTCCGTGTTTACTGCGGCGTGAGAGAAGGGAGGGTGTCCTGCTGTCAGGAAAATGTCCAAGGACGGATGGACATCCAGAGAAATAAAGGACAAATAAACGAAAGGGTGCGAATGAATCACATAAAAAAAACAGAGGAGTGACCTGGTGGTTCCATTGCTTCAAAAACCCAACTTCTACAAATAACCTGACATAAATCTAGCTTTCAATCAGTAAAAGTGTTTAAAAATCCTCTTCTGATGGTTTATATCTTTCAATAGTCACAATATGCTCATAAAATTACTGAGTTTTTAAAACTGATACATTTAATAAACTCCTCCAAGACATTATAAAGTGAAATTTTGCGGACAAATCAAATGGCACAATTCCAATAATTGTAAAGAGTTTTTTTTTTTTTAAACAGGCAGACAGAGCCGGAGGTTGGTTTAAGACGTAACTATGACATCTTTTGTCTGCAAAAGCTTTAAAGGACAGATGAAGTCTGTAAACATTAGTATCTGGGGCTCAGGGCCCACATGGGTGAGACTCGCTCCTGTTTACAGGCCAGCTCTGATTAAAAAAAAAAAGCCGAGGCAGGAAACAAGAAGAGCTCGGAGCCAAACTTCCTGCCTGTAATGTGCCTCCCAGAGTTTAACAGAGTTTTGGAACAAGTGGAGCCACCACCCGGTCCTGGTCCAGCAGGCAGCTCTGACCCGAGTGCAGGATGTGGATGGAGATCACGGTGGCCCACATCCTGACAGGCAGGAGGGGGGTTTTGGAATAATCTTTGGGATGAGTCGGACTGTAAAATGCCTGATCGGGTGTTTAAACGAACACTAGTGCCGCTGTGTGGAGCAGCAGGACGCTCCGAGACAGACAGTTCATGCTGAGCCGGAGGAGGTGAAGGCTAAAGGGGCCACACAGCTCGTTTCAGCCCCGGGAAATTAGAAAAACTGTTCCAGCACAGGACACAAGAGAGGAAGTGGAGATTTCAAGTTTAAAAAAAAGTTTAGGTTCCCAAACTTCTTTTAAAAATTATCTATAATCGTCAACAAAATATAAATCTGTATCAAGCTAATTTTACTTTGGCAGCTTTCCAAGTCATTTTTAGTCTCTAAGCTTTCCATTTTCAGAAAAAAATATTTTTTAAGCCTCTGAACTCTGACCTAGGATTTATTCAAGCGTCATTCAAGCAGAAAAATGGGCTTTAACTCAAGAAATGAACCAGTGTCCACAAATAACAGACAACTGAGTACGTAAGCAGTTAGTTTCTTCGGTGGAAAAGCCAAAGATAAGACATCCGAAGATGAGCTTCAGGATGTCCTTCAGGAAGCCTGGCAGACTCATGAAGCTGGTCTCAGAGCATTCAGACTGTTGGAGGCCAAATACTAAACTGACCCTCTGCTAAGCTACGGCTGGGGGGGGGGGGGGCTGAGCAGCCTCCATCAGCAGAGCAACATGAGCCAGCTGTGCACGGCGTCGCCTTCCATCCACTTCCTGGAATGAAATCTGAGCTGTGGCCGAAGAAGTCTCCGTTGTTTGAGCACGAAGCTGGCTCATTATTAATGACCTCCTACACCAACATGAGACCCCCCCCCCAAAACTCCCGCACCGACCAGGGAGCTGCTGCATTCATCCCCAAACCAGCAGCAAACAGGCGGTGGTAAACCATCGGCTTAGCGCACCCACTCAATACATTTTCTCTTATCCTTTCATTTGAGTCATTTTGAATTCGACAGGATGGCAAAAACTGAATAAAGCAACTTCACATCAAAGCATTTTGAGCATTTTCAAACTTCTTCAGGGGAGGAGAATCTGGCCCATATCACAAAACTGACCAGTAATAGGAAATACTATCCTGCGTGGTAAACATAATTTATTTTTTATTTAAATGCAAGTTAACCCTTTAACAATTTGACATGTTCTTGTTTTTAGTCTTTATTTTTGTGCAATGGGGTATTTCTTCACATTTTTACACAGTGTACTCACTGTACTGCAGTCCATTTCTTTAAGGCATCTGTCCTTTCAGTTGGCCTTTCTTTTAATTGTTGCACAACTAAAGATGTGAGAAAGCCTTAGAAAAGCCGCTAAATCTAAAGCTCTGACGTGAGTGTAAAAGTTTATTTATTAAATCATTAAAAGAGGAGCAAGTGACACCTCTTTACTTCTCACAGTCACCAGCAGGGGGCAGCAAACCCCCCGGTGTTGTGTTTTCCATCAGATAACTTGGCACCAGACAAATGAAAACAGGGAACTTTGAGACAATAGACTGCACATTTGCTGACCTGGCATTCTATCTGTCGTTCATGCTTTACACGCTGTTATTTCTACTTTTCCTTCACACCGACTAGGCAGTGAGGGCAGAAGAACAACAGATACTCACTGTGAGAGTCGTAGTTTCACATCTGCTACGCTGTACTGGCCCTGGAACGGGTGACTAATGGAGAAAAGAGGCAGTAAATACAATGTAGTGCGTTTAGGTGCATCTTTTTTTGTCCTGATGTGAGGGCTGAACAGAAGGATGTGCACCTCCCTGCTTTTTGATTTAAGGCAAAACAAAAAACTATAAAAAAATATGTATATAATTACAAACATAACATTTAAAGATACATATTTGACACAAATCTCAGTTGTGATTAACCTGAATCCCTTTTAGATATTTAAGGATTTACCGGTAATTCTTGCCCCTTAAATATTTCTTATTGCTATTGCTAATTCCTACAGAACTATCTGTGAAGATCCTCGGTCATCCAGGTCATGGTCAACTTAAAAAGTTCAGTTTAGGCAACTAGAAAACTTCACGTCCGGTTGCCTAAACTGAACTCCAGAACTATGTGTTTTTACTCGATTTGTTTAGAGATCATGACTGGGCTTCGGCCTCCTTCCTGTGCACCTACCCCGGGGTGATGGCAGTCATGCCGGGATGCTTGTTGCTGTACCACACTCGGAAGTTGTGACTTATTTTCCAGGCTGCCACGAACGGCGACCCGTAATCGGCCAGCAGCCTCTCGTTATCTGAACAGAGGACACGCGGGAAATTCAAACACGGGACAGAAAAATCTTCTGCTGTCTGCTAGGACCCTCTGCTCCACGGATCTGCCCACCTTGCTGTAAGGCGGAGGACAGTAAAGAATGCAGGTAGAGGGTGAACTGGGCTCTGATCCACTCGTCTCCGCCCTCCCAGCCCGTCCCGTCCAGGAACACGTCGTCCCGGTTCTCCGTCACGTGCTTCACCAGGTAGTCTGCGAACCGCAGGTCCGCCGTCGTCAGGCTCAGGACCTTTCGCAGCTCCGGGTCCTGGATCTGGATCTTAGCCTCCTCCACCTGCAGCAGCCACATGTTCACAAATCACCCCCTCGCCGTTCTTCCTTCAGATCCTGAAAAGGGCAGGACTTACTTCGACGACGGCATCGCTGAGGTGCCTCTGCTGTCGGAAGAGGATGTTTGTGGCGCCCGCCACGAAGCCCCGTACCGTCACGTCTGAGAGGAGGTGGTGCTGCTGCAGGGCCATGTAGGGCAAGCACAGGTAGCCCTGCGAAAAGCGAGCAAGATTAAAGCCGAACGACTTCCTGCTGTCCCCACAAAACGTCTTTGAAGTTCAGAGCAGGGAGACTGGGAGAACGATACAACCACCATAACCCCAGCTGCTCAAATCTACAGTAGTTAAAGTGCTTTTTAGCTTAAAATCTTTCTGGAAAGGTCCGTTTTCTTTCATTGTCATGTTTTAGGATTTACCAGTTATTCAGTCTGAAGGCGCTGTGTTTGATGCGCGCGGCCTCGGTTACCTTTGTGAAAACGGCCAGCGGCAGGCCGTACTGATCCTCCTCCAAACCTGACACCAGGCCCTGGATGACCCCTCCCTGCCCGCTGGCCGCCTGCGGCTGCACAGTGATGGGAGTTTCCGGGTTGGACTCGAAAGCGTCCAGGAGCTCGGACCCCGTCTCAGCCGCCTCTTTGGGACCTCCTTCTTCCAACACGCTGGGGTCCAGAGTCTCCCACTCGCTCTCGGAGGACTCTGGAGAAGGATGCGGGGGGGGTTGGAGGAGGTGGCGGACGCCGTTGGCGTTGTCCCCAGCGGACGGAGACTCTGCTGCAGCCTGAACTGCCTCCAGCCCTTCCAGCTCCAGGTTGGCGTTGGTGAGGTCAGTGACCGACACGGAAACAAACTCCTCTGCTCCAGGGACGCTCTCCACCAGGCCCTTGTCCTCCGATACGCTGCCCTTAGGTCTGTAGTGGGAGGAGTCGACCAGGCCGTGCTCGATCATCCCTGCACAGACGTCACGTCAAGGTTTTTGCCACAAACATCCGCATCTCAACCAATGATTCAAATAAAGCACTGAAAAAAAACTATCTAGCTATCCTTAAAACATCCATCTACACAAAAGTTGTGTTGCTTTTGCGAGTTTCTGACCTGGAAACAGCGACAGGACGGTCATCAGAGCTCCCACTAGTCTGTTGACGGGAGACACGTAGAACAATACCTGAAAAACAAACAATTATGTAGAAAGAACCAAAAATACAAAGATGAAAAGGCGTTTTTAGCTGGGATCCTCACCTTCTTCTCCAGCAGAATGAGCTTGAAAAGGATGAGAACCTAAAAAAGATTTAAATGCTTGTTACTCAGGTGCTCAAAGAGATATTTTTCAAATCTAACTGCCTCTAAATATTTCAAAATTCGTTTTTCACCTTGTGCCGGAAGTGAAGGATGAGATCTCTCGGTGATAATCCTATGAGAAGAAAATACCATGAGTCGACATACACAAAGGTAGCTAGGGCCAAACTGTGAATAATAATGGTCTAAAGGTTTAAACCAACACAACTAAATGTCTTTTTGGTTGACTTTGTGGTATTTGTAATAGGTTGCTAGTAATAAAAGGTATAAAGATCCAATTTAAGCTACTTCTTTGCTAAGTTTTCCGTTATGTGTTGATACAACACCGATTCATCCCTTAAATTATAAATTTTTCTGCTTGACTGATTCAGAGTCTTTAAGACAAATGCATTGAAAATGGTCAAAAAATGTTTTATCTACCGAGATAAACCTGTGATCCATCCAGAGCTGAACCCCGGAGAGAGCCGTTCATGTGATCGTACAGTTCCTGCCAATGAAATCAGGAAGTTAGGCGAGGTGCTGAGAGGAAAGTGACAACATGGCCAAACTGGCTTTGTTTCTGACCTTTAGGATGGAGATCTGTGAGAAGTCTTTCTCCTCAAAGTAGGCGTGTGTGATGAGCTGCAGTTTTGCTTGAAGCAGACCATAAAGAGGCTGCAGGTAAAAAAACATACAGTGTCAGCAGCGAACAGTGTGTCAGTCATGTACAGCTTGACCCATAAAAACTGCGTCAGAGTGAAAACGGCTGACTCCAAAAACAACACCCTGCATTAAATGAATGAAAAACACATAAAAATGGAAAAGAAGATACTGTGAAATGAAAACATTCCCCCTACATTTCTGCCTTCTTTTCTTTTCTACTCAGCTTTCTGTGCAATCTCACAGAAAACTATTTAAACTTGATTTAATTCTGAGGCAGAAATCAAAGCTGATTCGATTGTCTTTTTGGATGACCTCATCCTTGTGGCTGACTCACCACTCGACTGAGGACGCAGACACTCTTCTGAACAGTTTCCCTGGTGACATCAGCCTGTCGGACCTTCAAGGCCTGAAGACAGATTTTAAGAATGATACAACATAAACAACACTACACAAAAACATTAACATATCAACATTTATTTTAGATATCTAACCCTCTTACAGATCAGGGAAGAAACCCCTAATGGACCCTTTACAATGTTGCGAGCATTGACTGGCAGCTGTTAACATTTCCCATCATCTGGTTTCGGGCTTTGGTCTGAATCTTAAAACCTGACCGAGCGCTACTTACATGAACATTGACAATGTCCAACACTGATTTTAGATATAATTTGACATTTTTCCCAATGATGGGTTTGAAGCAAATAAACAAACTAAATTCCTCAGTGTGACCAGAGGGGGGCGGTATAAGCAACACTGCTCACTTTCACAGCAGCTACTTTCATTTCTGGGAATAATGGTTTAATATTTTCCTGTGCAAACAAGAAAACTGTGGAGTCTTAAGACTAAATCAAAATGATCTAAGTAACTTCCATTCTCACTGACGCTCATAACGATAAAAAAAATCGAGATATTCCACCTCAAAAACGGGTATTAGCTTCATTGCACATTGCTGTGCTCCCTTTTTCTGATGATGATTCAGGTCTTAGCAAACAGCACGTGCTAAAATTGTGTTTACAATGTTAAAAAAACAAAGCAAACATTTGTTTGAGTAATACTCATTAGATAAATACTGTGTGCCCACACCCAGGTGTGCTTTAATGTTTCATAAGAGCAAATAGTGCTCATCTCTCCGTGCAATGCTTTTAAACTACTTGTTATTAAATGTCAGGATGTGTCTGAGCCTCATTTGTCAACCACTGTCAGCTGAGACTGACTCCAATCCCCCTTAAGTTTTTTGTTCACTCCCAACAGAAGTTAGAGGACCAAACGTCCATGTGAACCCTGCTCATGCACAGCTGTGCACGTACGGCCATACGGATGTAAAGTCAGCGTAAAGGAAGTGAGGACATTGTTTTACAGATTCAAAAACCTCTTCAGTGTTGTTTTAAGACAAAATTTGGCTGATCAGGATCTTTTCCTTGAATGTAAAAATTCAGACTGACCTTTGACTCTATTTGGCGATAGCAGGACACTCCATACACGCACTTCACGTCTCCACCGAGAGGCGGCAGGTGAAAATACACAGTGTCTGAAAAACAGAAGGATCGCTCTCATTAAAGAAACATTGGGTCTGTGAATGGATCCACACACTCAATGGTAGATGAGAAAAAAGGAGCATCAAAAGCTTCTGAAAGGAGATCTGAAACTCCTAAACCAAACCAAAAGCTTCTGGTTCCTGCAGTGCGAAATTTATCAATTTCATTTCTCTTTTATGTTTTTTTATCAGTTGACCAAAATCTAGGGGAGGAATGTCAAAATCAAATACATAACAAAATATGTATAACAGGTTAAAAAAAGTTTGTTTGATTGAAAATTCTAGTAAAACAAGTTAAATCATTTGTAATAAAAAACAAACATCTTGTTCCTCTGAAATGAAACGGAATTCATCCAAGCTTCTCTTAATTAGCTATTTATGTACTTTGGTACTTTATATGTATTTATTTTTATTTGAATTCATTCCTTTCTTTGTTAAATATTTTCTTTTGCACTTATTTCTGCATTTCCCTTATGTTGTTTCCATCTCTTTATCTGTATCTTTATTTTTAAGAGTGTTCTTCCTTCCATTGGTTATTGTTTCAACTCTAGCTGTAGAAATGTTTTTTGGGAGCTTTTAGCTCAGATCCTGAAGTTTTTGTGGATACCAATCACATGTTGAAGTACCCCTCCCTGCCCCAGTAGGGGCTCAAAAAATACATTTAAGCTAATATGTACTAATAATGTAAACATATAATGCAATGATATACAGATTCCCCGATCATATGCAGCTCCGACCTACCGTCTTGGTAGTTGTGTGCTCCATCAGGAAGAGCCAGGAAAGGGAGGTACTTCCACTCCTCTGGCAGCAGGTTGCTGTCATGACCCTCGTCTGGCACCAGCGGTGGATAGGAAAATTCAACCTGAGGGCAGGACAAAAGATTTAACTCAGGGTTCTACAGACAGGATTCAATAATTATTTCAGCCATGAATATCGAACAGGAAAGAAGGGACAGTATCAACATCAAAGTACCTGAATGCACCACAAGAAGGAGCAGAGAGGTCATAAGTACAAAAAAAGGGAAAGGGGGCTTAGTCAAGAGAAAGCATGTAAATAAATCTGTGTATTTGCTCTTCTGGCGCAGAATCTACAAAAAAAACAAAGAAAGCAGCAGTCATTGTTACATTTACCTATTCTATACTTCTAGCCGATTGGAATCCAACATATTTAGAAATATATTGTCATATTTAGCCCCTGGGACCCCTGGGACTGAAACCCAGAACCTTGTTGGGATGTGACAGTGCTAACCACCACACCACCGTGCCGCCCATTCTCTCCAGAATATGGCTTGAATTTGAACAAAGAATAAGGCGTACTGACTGTTGCTTTAAATACCTCCTTTGATGCTTCTTAACTTAAAAAGGAGTTTATTCTCTTAATAATGCTGTTATTAAGATGTTTAAGCTGTTCAATTTAAAGGGCACTCAGGTCAGCGTACATTGGGTTAAAAAAAAATCTGTGCATTTTTTTACATTTCTCACATTTTTGCTGAGCTCATTCTGTTTGCAGAGAAAGAGCTTCTGCCTTGCCTGCTGTCACAGTTAAGAGCCAGCAACGAGATTAACCTGAAACCTGCTCGTCCTGAATGCCACACACACACACACCCACAAACAATAATTCGCTGGAGGATAAACCCGAGCAGAGCGAGCGGACTCGGGGTGACGTGTCACTTCTTGTTCCGGAGGGACGATGCTTGTGACTAACGCCTCATCAGCACGAACTGCAGCCCTGCCGTCTTCTCCCGTCTGGGATTTTGCCAGATAAGATTCCTGATAAGAAAAATCCATAAATAGCAGACCCCCTGTCTACCCATAAGATCAGGCTTGAAACCTTCCTGTTTGATAAAGCTGCCTCAGTGACCCTGAAACATCCCATAGCTCTGCTATAGGCCCAGTCTGCTCTTCATGTACATATACAGAATTGCTGTCATTAACTTAGTTTCTCTTCCTCAGCAGGTATCTCTGGCTCGGTGTCCCCCGTTTCCGATCCTCTCTTCCCCCAGCCGGTCAGCGTATGCTTGTGGATGGGGCCTCTGCACACGTCGCTGAGCACAGTTTATGGATCATATTTTTTTCTTATATTCATACATGCACATGCACACTAATGTGCACATACAACAGTAGCTGTGTTGTAGTTTTGTCCAACAGTATTCAATTCAATTTCAACTTAATTCAATTTTATTTATATATCAGAATCAGATAATCCCAGAGGGAATTATTATAGCGCCAAATCACAACAGTTATCTCACAGAGCTTTCCAAACAGAGAAGGTCAGACAAGACTCTGAAGTTATTTACACTTATGTTCCATATTCGCGCTGCTGTTTTTGTTTTGATTCTGTCAATTGTGTAGTTTTGCAGAAAGTCATTGTCTTCACCTGCTTCCTTCATGGAGGCTGCCGAAGGTTTTATTTGCAGAAGCAGGTTTTTGGGTTGGTAACTTTGTTTTATACACTTTTTGGTGTTTCTGTTATTTTTCTATTACTCTGTCCTTAGTTTCTCTCCTCCTCTCCACATTTTCATGTTTGGCGCCAGTTTGGAAATAAAACCTTAACAGCAATGAATAAATCAACAAGCGTTAGGCATCAATGGAGGCTTTATAGGTATGAAATAAGGCATAACTACACAGTCAGAACACCACTCGGCTTGCTTTGATGGGGGAAACGACAGAAAAAAGAAAACTATTTTGAGCACTTTTTGGTTATGTAAGAGAGCCAAAGCATCCATCTATCAAATTAAGTGCTTCTGGCTTTAGTTGGGCTCCTCTTAACCGCGTGCCATATTGTAACTGATATGCGTGTGTTGACAGTCCCAGCCTGATCCAGTCAGACTCCAGAAGAGCACCATGGACCATGTTCAGAGCCCACGGTTCATTTACACGCCAAAATTTGGCTTCTTTATACTTCTTAAACTAATTTTTTTCAACGTCAAAATTAAGGCAAACATACACACAGTGAGCAAGTGGAAGAAGAGAGCAGCAGACAGATTAAAGGGCCGAAAACCCAATCTTCTGCTCAGCGGGAGATTTCTGGCCCCTATCGGATATCCAACCCATCCCACAGGCTGCAGGCCGTCAGCAGCAGAAACGGTGCCCTCTGTCAAGCCTTCAGTCACGTCTTTACATTAACATTTTCTCCCTTATCTTTCATCAAGCTCAGCAGCTGCTCCGCACACCGACAGATGGAGAGCAGCACCAACAGGAGGTCCACTGTTACAATTTAGTGTTTGCCGGCACCATCTGCAAATTTGCAACTTTTTATGAAAAGCAAAAGCAAATTACAGGCTATAATTATTTAGCAGGTATTAACTGTAATAGACACAAGCTGTTTAAAATCTCTTTAAAAAGCAACCAAAACCAGTCACATTCAGACATCAGCGCCTAAAAGAAAACAGTAGGTCAGTTATTAAAATAATCTGAGAAATATCAAAGCTTTAATGCCTACTCTGTGTTAGGACTTTGTTTCATTAACTCAGAACGTTACTGAACAGTTTATGCTGAACCTACGCAACCAAATTACATGATTTTCTTCCTAATATTCGACTGAAAGCCAAACGCAAAACCTTATTCTCACAATGATGATCAGGCCAGCTTTAAATTTATAGCGTTCAGCGGGTTTGTGAATTTCTCTTTCTTGCCATCTTCATGTTGCATTTCTGTTTATCCTGAACAGAACATGATGTCATGAATGCGCTTTGAGGCACAGGTGTTAAACCCCAGTCCTCTGCAGGTTTTAGATGTCGCATCACTGCGTCAACACACTTGACTAACATCAATGCACAATTAGTAGGACTATGAAGAGCTTAACCATGGTTGAATAGATCTATTTAGTCAGAATTAGGTGTGCAGGATCAGGATAACATCTAAACTCTGCAGGATAGCAGCCCTCAAGGAGCAGAGTTTGAGAACCCTGAGAACCGATTAAAAATTTAAATTTCAGATTCAACAGAAGAATTCTGTGCAAACACAAGAAAAACAGCCAGTAACTGAAGCCTTAAACTTAGCGGCTTCAAAATCTGACAAGTAGGAAATGGTGCTACACTTGGGTGGATCTCTTTAAATATGTGGATTTTTACAAAGAAAATCAAAGAAAATCTAAAAGTTCAGGCCAGAGCAACATTAAAAAGAAGTCAAGCTTTAAATGTGGGACCATGTAACTGGGACCATTTCACTTCCTAGTCTTACTGGTCACATAAACAGAACTACTAAAACTCCCTTAGTATCAAGTTGAGGCTATTAAAAGTCACATTAGTACCAAACAATAGTACCAGATATATTATTTACTTTGCTCCAACTTAAAGAGCATTTACAGATTTCTCCCATTTACAGATTTCTCCTGTTTTACTATATCTCATTATCTTATACATGAAGTGTGCTATACAACTGAATTTGCCTCGTCTGAACGTTGTGTTTTGCTTTTGGTTTTTATTTTGGTTTTTATTTCTCTTTCACGATCTCTCATGCACAAACATTATCCATCTAATTAGCTATGCCAAATTATACAAATTTGGCTCTTATCCATTCTGGGAATAAATCAGCTAGTAATCATCGATATAATAGATATTTTGTTTCAGTGATATACAAAAAATGGTTTATTCTTAAACCTTTAAAAAATTATGTTTAACTATTCATACTCGAGTAATAAAACCTAGTAAAACTCCTTCGAGCAAAAACAGACCCAGCAGCTGTTTAGCTTCGCTCTTGTTAAACCGGATCCGAGATCAGTGAAGTAGTGAGCCTGGAAACACTGAACTGGAAAGATGTCCAGGCCAGCCGCAGAACATATGTTACATAACCATGTGGGTCCAAAACAAACAGCTGATGTCCATCTCTTTGCATTCACAGAACAGTCATTATCAGCATCTATTTTTGAGAAATTATGCTGATAGAAACCAGAAATGATCAGAAATTCTCAATACATTTGAAATGCATACACTTTCAGAGAGCTTGACCACAATCCTCAACTCAAATCGTGTGAATATAAAGCGGGAATGCACATTTTTGTCTACACAGTGAGCAGAACTATTTAGCAATTAGCCTCTGTTATCATGGGGCTGGTTCTCCTACCTGACAGCCCTTTTTGTGGTGAAATCCAACAACCACGATGTGCAGCACCGGCCCCTTCACTTCGTCCCTGCCGTGAGACTCCATTCGCGTCAGGTCCTCTGGCAGTCGAGTGTTATTTTCAACTCAGGGCTCAGATGTAAACACAGATAACAGAGACAAAATAGCCCCCTGAATCGGCCACACACAAGCTGCAGTACCACAACAACCAGAGCTGGCCCAACTACAGCAGGATGATTTTCTCTTCCGGTTTGCTTCACTGCGCCAGAGACCGTGCAGACATCGCGAGAGGTCCCCCTGTAACGCACTTGCGGAATCGCTTAATTTAATTTAATTATTTATTTATTTATTTTTATTTTTCTGTTTTTTTAGAATTGCTTGATTAACCTTATGCATCTTAGCTAAAATGTTAGCTTTGCATTAGCTTTGAACATATTCCCATACAATCTTATGATTTATTATGTTAGAATATAGTTTTAGATTTGACTAAATATTGACCAGGTATGTAATTACTTCCATTTTCTTTCAGTCGGAATTCTCCTTTATCGCAGGAATTTTATTGATGACCTGATAAGTGACACCTGCTGCTAGTCAACTGAATGTATCATTTATTTGTTATAACTAATTATGATGTGGTAATCAACTATTTGTTGTACATTTTACGTTGTTGCTGTCACCTTTTAATACATATATCAGTCACATAACTAATGGATTATTTAATGGTTTCTACGCAAAATATTGAAACAATGAACAAGCTGTGTTTGACCAATCGATGTTTGATTGGTTTTGTCTTGATCTTTGTCCTCTTGTGTTGATTGGTTGTGACTCCGAGTAGCGTTTTTTTTTCTAAGCAAGCATGGCGGCCACTCAGTCTACAAACCCATCGCAGCTGCTCCCGCTCGGTTTGTAAAAACTTAATTGTGTTGTTTTTCGCAGCAGTTATTGACATATAATTATGTGGACTAGTCAAGGACAAACTTAGGAGTATACATTTCAATCACAGGAGAAAAAAGGCCGAGTAATTGTTATGTTTTGACGGCTGGTATCGTGCCGGCAGGTAGCAGCTACTTATTCAGTGCTCATAGTGAGATCCGAGGAATGAACATGACTGTTTTTGTGTTGTTAATAAGGCCAAGAAGTCCACTTTTCAAATGATCCTGCTCTGAAAAAACAAAGAGTTATAAAGTGGATAGAAAAGAATATGACGGTCATTTGTATGTTTTCAGTATAGAAAATAATTAACTATTAAATACGTTCAGATTTGGCACAGATAAATCATTTTATCAGTTCATTGTGATTAGATGCAGTGGAACACAGGTTACAAAGAATTTTCTAATATCGTTTTGAAAACATTTAATGAACATTAAAAGTGAAAGTGAAAAAACTGTAGAAGTGTCTGTTAAGAGATGTTGAAATGCTTTTCCTCCTCACAGAGCTGGTGGATAAATGTATTGGCTCTCGGATTCACATCGTTATGAAAACCGACAAAGAAATAGTTGGCACCCTACTGGGTTTTGATGACTTTGTCAGTATCCTTTCTTTAAAAATGCTTCTTGTTCTACATTACTTCACTTTTGGTTCTCCCAAATCGGGTCTTTAACTCAGTGTTTCAGATATGGTGCTGGAGGATGTCACAGAATTGTAAGTGCAAGCAACATGTTTCCTACAATAAATTCTGAATTCTTTTGTGATTTAAAAAAAAAAAAATCTTAATGTATCTTCCCTGTTGCAGTGAAATCACACCGGAGGGAAGAAGGATAACCAAACTGGACCAGATCCTCCTCAATGGGAACAACATCACCATGGTAGGAAACAGTCACAAGGTTCGTTAGGTTCTTATTGACCCCTTCTGCAGCTCAATCATTAATGTGAATGTTTTCTCCTCTGTAGCTCATTCCTGGTGGAGAGGGACCCGACGTGTAAATGCTGTTTTTGTGTTATGGATTAATGCCTCTCCTGTGTTAATGTTCCTGATTTTCGTAGTTTCCAAGTCTCCCTTCTGTTCTTATTGAGGAACATATTTTTGTAATAAGGAAATAAAAGATACATCATGTTTTTGTTCATAATAAATCTGTGACTGTCATGCTGTTTGAAAAAGGAGACTTTCTTTATTTATTCAACACAAAAGTACAATTTAGTGCAAACATTAAAACTAAATCAGTGTTAAAATAAAAACCAACATCCAGTTATTTTGTGTTTTGGAGGCTTCTAAAGAAAAACTGGGAAACGTCTGACAGAATGTGCCTGGTTTCTGACTCATGCATGTTGTGTTGGGCTGAAGTGAGCTGAGGATGCTAGTCTGTCCCAGTGGTTCCTCTCCAGCCTCAGTACATCGACAGCTTCTCCTCTCCTTTTGGATTTATCACCTTCTCCAGGTTTTTGTTGATGATGTCATAGAATTCAGCCTGAACAGAGAGTATTTATGACCCAAAAAGCTAAAAAATGCACACTCATTCCAGTGACTTACAGTTTAACAATTAACTTTAAGAGATCCTGTAAAATCCTAAATACAAAAAAGCATTAAATTCCAAAATACTTCTATCTACTACTACTATCTTGAAATATTTATATAATATACCAAATATATGTTGGGCCAGTTTGTTTGCACAGTTGCCTTGTATGTGCTCAGGACCAAAGTGAAGTTTCTGTGAAATCCTGAGACTAAAACATAAAAATGCTCGGAACCAATTTGTAATCTAACTGCGTTGGATTCCAGTGAATTGGATTTTGAAGCACCAATTCATTGTTTTTGTTTAGTTTTTTTCTTTTATGATTAAAACTCAAGATAAATTTCTACTTGGGCATATTTGCAGCTGAGATGTAGCTCAGCCAGACATTTATCGCCCTCCTAACTCAACGCCTCAGTCCTTTATTAGTGTTTGTACTTCAGCTTGGTCAGACTTACATAGAATCCACGGATGTCAAGCAAGATCACCTTGATCTCGGAGAAGATGGTCTCGTCTTTCTCATGGACAAGTGAGCGGTAGTCCATCTGATTACAGATGTTAAAAGATATTAAAATGACTCGTATACACAGTTTAAAATGAACGTATGCCATTCAGTGGTATGTTAATGTGTAATTTCGCCACTAAATATGTCCCAAAGATGATACTTTGTGAGAAACATTTGGTTTTCATTTAATCATTTCCTTGGGTTTATTAAGTTCTGATCACTCACCACATGAGTCTCTTTGGAGGCTTTGCCAACCGCGTCCCCCCTTTCCAAGAAGTACCTGAGTATTTTAATGGAGAAAATCAGAACGGAGCACTAACGGGTGAGGAAAACAAAGAAAATGATGACATTTGTTCCAGGAGTTGAGTCAAAAAGTCTCGACACACTTGTTGATGTTGGTCTGAAAGCCTTCCACGCTGGTCTTAACAGCAGCAATCCTCTCCAGGATTTTCTCCTGGGGTAAATAACAGAGGTTTACTCCTTAAATCACAAGGTGTTAAAAACAACACGGGCAGTTAAAAGAACGGAAGAAGAGCTGCACCTGGATGGCCACTCCAAAGTCATTCCCGTCCTCTATCTTTGGAATGAGGTGCTGGATCCAGGAGGACACCTGAGGAAGGGAAACCCACAACATGAGCACAGCAGCTCTGTTTGAACCCACCGAGAGGGATTTTACCTCCATGTTTTACATCACGCCCACTTACCATGATGATGGTCTCTCTGAGAGCGACGATCTCTGGCTTCACTTTGTTTAGGAGCATCATAATCTTCTCATTCCCCTTGATGAAACCACATTTTGGAGCTGAAGACAAACATGGCTACCTTTATCCTCCATCAAACAGCGGCTGCTGGCTTTGACTAAAACAACTAACATCACTTTACCTTTCTTCTTCTTCTTGTCTTCTTCATTCTTGTCGGTCTCCATTTCCTGTCATATAATTTGATTCAAATCAGATCCCAAATGGTCCTTATATTAACAATCCCTGTATTCAATAGTTTTTAGCATCACAGATATAACTGAACCCGGGCACAAAGCTGCAATGGATAAAACGTAATTAGATAGAGGCAGAAGACTGTATTTAAAGCTTTTAAGTTGTAGATGTAGATGGCGGAAATCAGAGTCTGAACTTATTTCCTGTTTTTCCTTTCAATTTCAAAAGAACAGGAGCTGACTCTTGACTCAGTCTCAGATATGCATCCTATTTCATGTTTTATGGCGTAAACTAGACAAAGATGTGAGTTCACTGGTATCATAATGATATAGCATTTCAGATCAGCTTAAAATAACATACAGTATATAATTATTTGATTCAGACAGTTGTGAATCTATTTTGAACACAGGTGAGGCATTTTTATCTAAAAGCGCTTCAAATGTTGAAATAATCCAATTATAATCTCATAAATTCTGTACAAACTTTGTTTGTGTCTTTATTTATTTACCTACATTTGCTACATGTATTTTTAGTTTCCGTGGGCGTTTATACAGGTGGTGTTGTAACATGTACTTGTGAGAACTGGAATAGAACTGCTAAAACATCACACATCAGCATTTTAGGATGTCTAATTAGAGAATAAACTAGAAACAACGAAGGTGAGGGTGTGATGGTCTCACCTCGTCCTCTGGTGAGGGAGGGTCAGGTATGGGGATGTCCAGAGGAGCATGAAGTGAGGACATGTCTGTGATGCTGAGAGCATCATCCTGTTAAAGGCAGAAAAAAAGGCAGGATGAGAAACACGTACATCAGAAACCTCAGGTCAAAACCTACAGAGGCTGTGAATTATAATACTGAACCTTGAGCAGAGCGTCCAGCTGAATAATCTTCAGAGGGATGTAGTTAGAGAACAAGTTCTCTGCCTGGAATCACAAACACACACACATAAATCGCAAGCAAAGAAGATAAAGGATTCCTATTGAAAATTAAATTGTATTTGGATAGCATGAACGACACACCAACCTCCTGGTGGAGAGACCGGCGGAAGTTTTCCACCTGCAGAAGGTAAACAGGACAAAGTGAGCACGTTTGTAAGCCCGAAGAAGCTGACTCACGTTTGGATTTACTTTCGTTTTCCTCCAGGAGAGGGACTTTCCGACTCTCTGAATCCAATAAGCGACTCTTTTGAAACAGCCCGCACCCCCCTTCCCTTAATAATCTGACAATCATACAAATAACCCAGGACGATGGTTTGAGAGTAGAGCCCGCATTTGGTGGCCTCCTACAGCTGATCGACTCACCTTGACTGCGTTTGCGTTGCTTACTTTGAGGGTTAAAGCCTTCGACATGTCGGCGCAAACTTCGCCGCTGTAATAAGGATACAATGAATAAATCCGGTAGGATTTATATTTCTGCGGATTTCGGCTGCAGCAGGAGACAGCTCGTCTGTCTGGGCTGTTTTTCTATTTCCTCATTCAGTTTACTTTCGATTAAAAGTCGGTTGGTGCAGTTTGCGCCTCCCACTGCCTCCCTCCTCTACCCAAACTTTTTCGTAAAGGCTCCTTCATGGAGATTGTCAGTGCGCATGCGTACAACTCAACCAACCAGCAATAATATTTATGCCTAGCGTAAGGTTACTCATTTTAACACAAGTAAACTCGATATGCATCCATAAATACCTGAAATGAATCAATGTGTAATTACTTTAATTCCAGCTGCCTTTTCAAATAGCCAATCAAAGATACCCTGAATAGTGTTTCCGCTGCATTTAATTATACTATCACTTTCTCTTTAGCAAATAACGTATTCGTAGACTTGATCCTTGGGTATGGTTTACATTTTAGGGCATCCCCGGGTCTCAGAAAACAGGGATAGACTAGAATTAAACACCTTTAGGAATATGAAATATAGATAACAATATATGTAAAGAGTATATGACTTATACTAGATGAAAAATGGGATCAGATTATTATCTATAGAAATAATATATATAGAATAGCATTCAAAACACGCCAGTGGTCGGTTGTTTTAAGGTTAACAGGGTATTGCCTTTGTTAGAGTTTGTTAGAGATCAACTTTAAGTTTTAATCTGAAATGTTATGTTAGACCGGAAGTTGGTGACAGACCATAGTTCCGCGTTTAAAGCTAGCTTCAGACGGAACCAGCTCAGCTCATGTGGGCATTGGACCGCAGGTGACTCCTTTAAAGCACTTGGCATCCTTTCAGAGAAACCCAACAGAGTTGTTTTTGGTGTCGCGAGGACGACATAAACCCTTAGTACAAGCCCAAGTAGGTAAGAAACGTAACTTAGCAAACGTAGCTGGTTGTCAAGCTGTTTTAAAGTTTCGGTTTCAACTGATGTCAGTTGGGTTGGTCCGCTTGTTGTTATTTATTTACTTTTTATTAATTTATTTACTTTTACACACTCAGACCAACATGTTACACGGGTTAGTTGTGTTAAACGGGGTGTTGCTGCACAGAAGAAGTGTCGCGGGGTGATTTGATACTCTGTTGTTTACCTCCGACTCTATGATTAGCCTGGACTTTCCCTCCGTGGCGTATAATGCGAATTAAAAGTGAAATCATTCACTCGCAGAAAGCCTGCCTCTGCGCTAACCTTTAACTTTTTGTCTTGCTTTCGCACTGCAGCTGGATTTCTGGAAGTTTTTTCTCATAGAAATGGGCTATTTATGTTATCTATATATATCAAATCCATGTAATGTTATTCTTGTATAGTTAATCCAGACTTTTTTTCTGAAAGCTGCAGACTTTTTATAGCAACAATATCCAGTCACGAATTATTACATTGTAATCAACATTTTTATATAGTTTCATTTGGCTCATTATAAGCTGTTTAGTTTGGGTCATAGCCTTTTCAAAATAGCCTTTTCAAAACTCTTTCTGTGTTTAACAAGCAGCTTTCAAAGTTTTTCTGTGGGGATAGATCAATAGATTTTATTTCTTAAATCGTCATCTTCCTTTTCTGACAGCAATGAGTAGCAGCCCTGTCCCCGTCCAGATGGACGAGGTCAGGAGCAGAGCCCAGTCACTCCTGTCCTCCTCGGGCTCAGCCCTGGACGTGAAACCTGACGTCCAGACAATGGCTGCCATCCCTCTGCCGGTGTCTGAGAAATACCGTCTCCTGACAGCAGAAACCATACTGCGAGAGAACACTGCAGGTTGCAGCGAACATGAGGTGAAGCACCCACAGAAAAGATCCACCGCTAACATTACAGAGAAAGATGTTACGCCCATGTAATGACTGCTTTTCCCGCTGATGTCCAGTCATTAAAACTATATCTTTGCTTAAGAGAAAGGACAGCGATCAACAGTGGAAACATGGATTTTAAAAAGGAATGAGTGTCTTCTATTATCCACCAGTATCACTCGTGGATAACTGAGGTGTGCCCTTAAAAGGCTTAATCCTCATAATTAAAGGGGCTCCAATAGCCATTTTGCTCGTTTCTAAACAAGACTAGGCTGAAAGTCCTCGAAATAAACTATTCCTCTGAATAAATGGATAGCGCTTATTTTTGCCATGAAAATTTTTTTTCTTCTTTGTTTGGAAAGAAGAGAGTAAAATCTTCTAAAATATGAATAAACTGGTGTAATTTCAGATAATCTTGCCACAAAAGCTTTTTAGGAGTTCACCTAACCATTGGTCACAATTTTTTTGCTACCATCATCACTTTCCAAGTGTCAACATTAGGAAAAATGATGGTCCCGGCGGGTGTCCTGCGTTTGGACAGTCAGCTGTTTGTTTAAAGATTTTGGTTTGACCCTTACACTGTGGAACTGTCTCTGCTTCAGGTCCTGGAGGCTTTAAGCAGACTGGTCAAAGCCTTAAGTATCCTGGAGAAGTACGGCTGTAACCTTACTGGTCCCACCAAACCCAGATACTGGAGGAGCGTCAAGCACAACAACCCTGTCTTCAGGACCACCGTGGATGCCATCAAGGTGTGGGAAAAGCTACCAGGTCCTTTGTTTGAGTTTGAAGTTTTTTGGTGCGAATCAAGTCTGAATTCTTAAAGAAATTATACAAGATGACAACGTATTCTAAAGTGTCTTACTTTTTTCAAATTTAAAAGCAAATATGTCACGTTTTTTTTATTCTACAGGGAGGCCGGAGAGTCCTTTACCTCTATGGTTACACCAATCAGCAGATAGATGGCCTTAGTTTTCCCGAGGATGTCACTGGTCCAGATGCTGCAAACGTCGCTTTGGTGACACTGGAGGTGATGACCTTGCGCACAGAAGTGGACATGCTAATAAAGGTGTGGTTTTGCTTCCAAGAAAGTCAAATCATTCCCCTGTTTGTGTGTAAGCGAGCCACCATGTTGCATTTCTGACATCTCTGTTTATTTAGGGCTCCCATCCTCACCCAGAAAACTTCAAAGACATCATCCCATTTCTGTCCCACCAGGTCTGTATTCATTTCCAGTGGGTGTGTTGTCAAAAATACACTGAGGTGCTTCCGCAAGCTGTGGAAAATCAAAAGCTTTCCTCTTTTTTCTTAGGATTTGTTCAAAGTGAAAACCAAGAGAATGTCAAAAGGTCTCATAAGTCAACATTCTGTCATTCATTTTAAAAATAAAAGACTAAACTGACGCAAAAAAGTTTTCAAAATGAATATAAAATTAATATGGCTCAATATAGCTGGCATATAAACACTTTCAAAACACGTTATAACTGTACTATCAGTCTATTAAATTAGCCTTAATCTGTGCACAAACTGACACATTTGTTCCAAACAAGTCAATGTTTTTGTTTCTTTAGAAGAAGCCCCCTCCGGACCCTGTGAGCACAGTGCCTGCAGACGAGCAGCAGGGAGACAAGCTCCAAACGCCCCCTCCCTCAGCTATGCCTGAACCGAAGCCTCAACTCCCCAAGCAGAAACCATCCACCGGTGAGCTGCCGCTATGACGGGTCATTCCTCATTGTGTTCAAGCCCTCCAGATGTTGATCATTGATATTTAGAAGAAGTGAAGAACAGAACGACTTGGAGTAGAAGCTGCATAAAATGAGAAAGACCCAGTTTAGGTTTCAGTCATAAACTTCATCCCACATGTTAATGGATATAGTTAGATATCGATAAAGACACTTTTCCTTTATGGGTATATATAATGGCACTTTTAAAATGTGTGTCACAGAAATCCCTGTTGTTTTTTTTGGTTAAAAGAGTTGGAAATCTGTCTGTTTACTAACCCATGTCTCAACAATTGCTGCAGCTTGTGGTCGAAACACTCAGTGTGTTTCTCTTCTTTGTGTCCAGCCTCTCCTGTGGCAGAGGAGTGCAATCTGTGCGGCGGCGCTTCGTCTCTTCTTTGCCCATCATGTGACAATCAACATTTTTGCGACGCTTGCGACGACCTCTTTCACCGCCATCCATCCAGAGCCGCTCACAAGAGGGACAAAATCCAGAAAACCAACGCGGGTACGCTTAGTCACAGAGTGGCCAAATGTAAACACTTCCTTCCTGATTTTGTCTGTTAACCTGATTTGATTTGGCAGAGACGTGCAGCATCTGCGGCATCGCTGGCGTGCACACTCACTGCTCCACCTGCATCCAGAGGCTGTGCATGAACTGCGACAGGCTCTTCCACTCCCACCCCGACCGCACAGGACACAGCAGGACTAGTCTCACACCAGTAAAAACCTCCAGGTGAGGCTTACAAGCTTCCACGCGCAGTCCACCTCTTTTTCATCAGATGGAGATCGGTGGTCAACTGGAAAAATTTTGTCATCTTGGATTTTCCAGCCCGTCCCTGTCACCTTGGCAGTGCGGTCACTGCACGACGGTGAATGAGATCCGAGCTGTTCTCTGCGCCACATGTGAGCGTCCTCGGCTTGCCACCGCCGCATCCACAGCTCTAGAGAGCCCTGCATCTGTCCCCGCTTCACCAAACGCAGGTTAGATGACAAAATGACAGCAGATATAAGTGTAATGATGACTTGTGACTAAATGAGCTCACGTTCTACTTGCGTTTGACCTCTCAGAGTGGCAGTGTAAGAGCTGCACTGTGGTGAACCAGGGCAGCAGCATCCTCTGCGAGGTGTGTGAGCGCCCTCGTCTGGCCACTCGCCCACCTGTCACTCCAGCGTCAGGCCCCAGATCCCGGTCTGACTCTGGGTCAAAGGTCGGTCATTCTGCCAATCGTAAAACTTTCTTTTCTTCTCTGTCCTCCCTTTGCTGACTAAGACAAACCCATGGAAACTTCCTGCTCAGTGAACTCTAGAAATGAATGACAACTTCCAATCGTACATGAAGCCGACAGTCTAGATGGAAAATAAGTTTGTGTAGTTATTTTGGGTTTTATATGAGAAAAATTTTAAATGGAAATATAAAGTAGGAGATCAGAACCTTCAGATTCATTAAACGTTAATCCCTCTGAGCGATCTGTGCAAAGCCCTTTTGTCAGACATGTTCCCAGGAGATAAGTTGTTTGATATGTTACTCAACCATCATCTCAAGATTTAAGAGTCAGAGGAGTGAATACATTTCTGCAGTGAATAAACCTCAAATTAAATCTTAACATGAGAGAAAAGAGAGTCTCATGATTTATTGCATGGTAGTAAGAGCAGAAAAGAAGGTAAATCAGTTGCTTCTGTTGCTATTGTGAAGTTTAGGTGTTGATTTATTACATTTTCTGAGAAAATCCCATCTTTTTCTGTCAGGCTAAAAACTCTCCTTTGATGAGATACTGTTGGTAATCTGAACTCGTTAGAAAATAACCCAGATAACGACAATAATCTTGTCTCTTTAGTCTTTATCAGTCTCCAACAGAGAAAATGAAGCTTGAGTTTAATAATGAGCGACATGTACATGGGTGGAGTTTGACCTACTTTGATTTGTTTACTGATTTTTGTTCCATCTGTAAAATTTCCAATTGAGGTCACCGTTTGTTTTTTGTTCTTTTGTTCCTCTTCTCTCAGTGGACATGCCAGTTCTGCACTTATGTCAACACAAAGCCCTCTGTAGTCTGCGAGATGTGCAGCCTGTCCTGCAAAGACTCGGCTGGAGTTTCTCTCCCCCAGTCCCTCCAGCAGGTGCCATCTGTGGCTAAGGAGCAGCCTCAGCCCGTTGTGAGGCCACAGCCGACACCCAGAGTCAACATAGAGCTGAAAAGGCAGAAGACCATGAGAGAGGACGGCCTGACACTCATCCACCAGATAAGAGTGCGGAAAGACACCTGCAGGCACTCATGAGCCAAAAGAATTTAAAGGCCTTCTTGAATATGTTAGAAACAGCTTAATGTGTTAATAAATTTTGGGTTGCCCTTTAAGGTTACCACTGACAGTCATCCAGAGATTTCCTGGTTTTAGACCCAAGTGTTACTGGAATGGACTGTTTCCCTTGTATGCTTTTAACCCTTCTGTAATAGCAGTCTAATTACGAAATGCATCTTATTTGTTTGCCACCAGGATGCTGAGAAACGAGGTGTCAGCCCGGAGGAGGTGTACGCTGCCCTGTGCATGTGCAGCGGCAGCAACGCGAACCCCTGTGACTGGCTGATCTCAGAGCTGCCGCACCTGCTGGACGAGATCTGCGCCATGGCCGCGTCCGTTCAGCAAAGCTACAGAGCAGGAAACGGCGGGACGCCGGCGGCCGTGGAGAGAGACGGGGGGGAGCCGGCGCAGAGCGCCGCCAACGACGGAGTCAAGCTGTCCAGGGCCGAGGCCAAGCTGGCCTGGCTGGCAGCCGGAGGAGACACAGAGAGAGCAGTGAGACAGCTGCTGAGAGACCGGCAAGTCAAGGTGAGCTCACCCCCGAGTGTCCATAATTCGCTGGCTGTCAGGAACCCTCACAGACTTATTTCAACAGTTTCCCAGCTCATTTTTCATGTCATGGGATTTAATTTAATCGACCTTGTCCGTGTGTGGGAGTTAATACAAATCTTTGACACTGATAAAGGAAATTCCATCATTATCTCGTAGAACATAATGAAAACTTTCATATCATAGGCAGGACATGAAAGTCTGGTACAAAATGTAAGTCATTGTGGAGCGAGAGAGTTGTACGCCTAAAAGTTTCTTTTAATAAAACCCAACACAAGACTTCAAATTTGCAGAAACTTTTAACTGCTGATCAAAATATTTCTTTGAACTGATTAATCTGTCCACTCTCTGCCTCTGTGTTCCATTATATAAAATATTTACCTAATTGAATATAACTAACATGTAATATAAATGTAATGTACAACATGTCTTTATTTGTTCCCAAGAAAATACAAAACCGATGCCTTGTATTTTTAAACATTAAATTAAATATAAATTATAAGCCTAAAACAAAGGAATGTTTGCACGTGGGAGCAACCATCTAAGCTTTCCAAAGTCCAGGAAATGCCTGGAAAAAGTCCCAAAATTCAGCGAGGTTGAGGGGAGTCGTCCAAGATGCAGAGCTGGATCAAAATGGAGAGAGAGGAGCTCAAACTTGATCTTGACCATAATCAGGTCAAACATTCTGAACATCTCTAAGATTGGCGGACTTTTCTACCGACCAGGTGTTAGAACTGTGGACTGTGGACTGAGCTCTGTGTGGGATATCATCAGTCATTTACCCTTCTTTAAGTTACCCTTGGCTCATTGGTTTGCCTCTTCTCCTCTCGTGTTCAGATGAGGGAGCTTCACTCTCTGGGCTTCCAGGATGTGGCTCAGTGTGAGGAGGCCCTACGGCAGAGCGGCGGTGAGATCAAAGGAGCTCTGTCCCTGCTGCAGCGCCCTCTCCTGGAGCCCTTCCACCAGCGAATCTGGATCGACCAGCCCGAGCCGCCCATCGATCCCAAACACCCGGACAAACAGGTCCGACCGCGCGGCGAAAGCAGAACTCCTGATTTGATTCGGCCTACTTCACACCTCCCGTTTGCTGCTTTCAGAGGATGTGCAGGCGTCTGCTGGCGCTGTACGACCTGCCCAGCTGGGGGCGCTGCGAGCTCGTCCTGTCGCTGCTCCAAGAGCCGGGCGTAACCTACTCACTGGAGGATGTGGTGCAAGCTGTGAAGGAGTCACATGACAAAGATTTCATCAGACGTCTCCTTAACAACGAGTGCCCCATCTGTCTGAGCATCTTCCCCCGAAGCAAGGTGTTTTGTTTTTTTAACCATCATATGTGTAAAGGTCATGCCACTCCAAAACAAACTGCAGCTGATGTCCAATCCAATTAGTGTGGCTATTTGTTTCAATTCTGACTTTAAGAGTAAATTTACTGAAACGTTTGAGAGTTCCGCCTATAAAATGTGTATCGTGGTCAACGTTTTGGTGAAGAATTAAAGCCCTTTGTTCTCCACTTGTCCAGATGCAGTCTCTGACGTCCTGCCAGTGCTCAGTGTGCCACGACTGTTTCAGGCAGCACTTCACCATTGCTGTGAGAGACAAACACATCAGGGACATGGTGTGCCCCGTCTGCAGCGAGCCCGACATCAACGACCCCGAACAGCTGGACAGCTACTTCTCCACGCTGGACATTCAGGTGACAACCGAAGGGGAAACGCAGCGATTTAAACGCAAACAACAAAATGTTATTTATTTTTGTCTGACAAGGTTACTGCCAAAATGGTAGGTTTATATAATAGAAATAGATTACTTTTTCACCATTTTTAAGTTTTAAGCCAACTCTATGTACATCTATTTATTTACAACAACAAAAAATAGGCAATCTGAATCTGAGGAAGGTTTAGCTCCTCTCTAGAAAAAATTTAAACAAATTCCGTCAGAAGTTTGATTTGACTGTAAAAGTTGCCTTGCCTACAAGAAGAAAATGAGTGTTTGTACAGCTTGAGTTCATTCTTAGAAACCTCTACAAATGATTAAACATCAGTATTATTTATGTCTACATCTGTGCCCCTTTAAAGCTAAGAGTATGAGTGGAAGTCTGATTTTATCTGACAAGCACAGGAAATCAAGCAGCAGACTGCTTGTTGTTGTTGTTTTGCAGCTGCGGGACTGCCTAGAGCCCGAAGTGTACGACCTGTTCCACAAAAAGCTGACTGAGCATGCACTGATGAAAGACCCGAAGTTCCTGTGGTGCTGCCACGTGAGTCTCAGCACCAAAAACCAGTCCACTTGTTCCTCTTTGTCTTGCCGTCATCACATTTTTCCCTCCCTAAATGAGATGGGTGGGAGTGGGAACCAAACAGCCGCATATTTAATCTCCTGTGTGAAAATAACTGCAATCATGACATTTGAACCCAGACAATGAGAGCTACTGGTGATTAAAAACAGTGGAAGTTTTATTTACAAAACAAGATTCATTATCTCGGTTCAATAAATTCTGACTCATGACGGGTTAACTCATCTAAGAATTAGACGAGTTAACCAGTCAGTCATGTTTTTTCTCATACAGTGGAGAGTTAAATGAAACTATTGCTTGTTTTAAAGTGTTTTAGATTGAACTTCATATTTATATTGTATATTGCTCACTGTCACTGTCAAAAGCTCCATTGAAGCCATTTTGGTCCAATCAAAGCTGCTTGACTTGTTCATTTCTTAGTTAACCTCAGTTATAAACTAAACTAAAAGCATTTTGGCAAAAACTGACGAATCTGCTGTGGAATTTACCATTAATCCAAGGTTGCTGATAGCAGTGTGAGTTCTGAAATGAGGCTTATATTTCTCCCTCCCTAAGTGCACATCCGGCTTTATCAACGATGGGGATCAGCTCAAGGTCACCTGCCCATCCTGCCGCAAGAGCTTTTGTGCTCAGTGCAAAAAGCCTGTGAGTACAGTCTTTAGTAGCATGTCCATGCTGCCCGGGGTGTCCAAGTTGAGCCCCCTCGTAGCTGAAAGCCCCCATCTCATTAACGTTTCCCTGGTGCTAGTGGGAGCCTCAGCACCAGGACGTGTCCTGTGAGGATTTCCAGCAATGGAAGAGAGACAACGATCCAGAGTACCAGAAGCAGGGTCTGGCCGGGTATCTGAGAGACAACGGCATCAGTGAGGCTCACCGCAAACCACATCCACAAGCTTTACTTCTCTTTCCCTTCCTCATCAGGCCAGCTCTTGCAGTGTCGCCCAAGATCTGTTCATTAGCGTGTTGCTGCTGAGTCAAATATCTTATACAATAAGGAACTTGGCCCTTTTTTATTGTGCTGAGCTAAAGACTTGAACTACTCCTCGTTTCTTTATGTTATCAGTGCAGGAGAAAAGAGGTGATCTGATTCATTTAAACATGTTCAAATATAAATGTAAATTCAGTAAATGGGGCAGAGTCTGAGCTCCTTTATTCTCCAACACAGCCTGAAAACTTCTCAAACAGCTTTGTGTCCTGCCTTTAAGGAGTCTTCAGGAATGGTTCTCCAGGCTTCTTGATGGACATCCCAAAGCTTTTCTTTGGATGTCGGCTGCTTGGTTCAGCACTAAACTGCTTTTCTAATGCTATATTTCCAGTTAGGCTGTACTCTACTTTCTCATTCTTTTTGTTTATTCAATACATAGGAACATTTAGCAGTTCCTCTTAAAATGGTTCATTAGAACTGGATGTGACACGGTAAATGACTCTTAGGGGATATTTTGCAGCATTTTGTTTGTCAATGATCTGTTGAGTTATAATGAAATCGCGAGTTCTTTAAACTGGAATCCCATCAGGAATTTCCTCACAGCTTGGGCTGCGGAGCTACTTTTTGTCTTTGTTTTTTTTTTTTTACATCACCACATTTGGGTTGAGTTAACGTTCCAATATGTGGTGTCCTCTTGCAGCCTGTCCTCAGTGTGGGTTCCAGTATGCTCTGACAAAAGGGGGCTGCATGCACTTCACCTGCTCCCAGTGCAGGTACCAGTTCTGCAGCGGCTGTAACAACCCCTACCACAAGGTGAGACCCCCCCCCCCCCCCAGAGAGTTTAATGTCAGAAAGCCTGCCATTGCCTGTCCCCCCATTGGTCTTTATGTGTTCATTGTGTTTGTTTGGTATTCGTGTTTTTTTGCCTGGCAGACGGCATGCAAGACCGCTCGGTGCTCCTTCAACGGCCTGCACGCTCATCATCCTCGAGACTGCCTCTTCTACCTCAGAGACTGGGACCCACCGAGGCTGCAAGCCCTGCTGCAGGTGAAAGGCAGATTGATCAAAAGACGCCTCAATATTTAACTTAGTTCCTTATCCCGGCTTTTGTTGGAAAAGCTCTTTGAGAGGGAATTTGCTTTTTCAAAGTTGGAATCTACTATTTGAAATAGGCTTTAAATCAATTTACCATGTTACACAAAGAAAACCAGCAGGAATGCATCGTATTGGAATTTGCTAATCATTTGTAGACTCTGGCTCCACTTCTGGTGTGACATGATGTATTTTTATGTCTTACCACATCCCTTTTTCGTAGCTATTTATCAACTAAATTCAATTAAATGACTGTTGAATAACAGAGAAAGAAGTTTCATTTTTAACTTGAATTGGGTTGTTCTTATCTGAGAGTCATTTATAGTCCTGTTAACTTCACTCCATTTGTTCAGAAATGATCTCATAGAAAAAGATTTAACCCATTTCGTGGAAGTGACATGAAAGTGTTTCAATTGGGTCAGCTGGGGTGACTGGAAGTTAGATAATCAGAACTGGATGGTCGGTGACGCAGAAAGTTTTTAGCCCATCTGTGTGTGGTTATCTTAATTAAAAGTAGCTCTGGCATTCAGGCAGGAGCATGGAAGTGTGAACTCATGATGGTTTTATTCTGATTTGCTTTGTGTCCTCAGAGGAGCGGCGTGGACTACAACACCGATCCCTCCAACGGGACTCAGGCTGGTGAAGCACCTTTTTTTCTCTGGGCTAGACAGACTACATCTCTGTGTTGCCTCTAAAGTGGACATTGACATGCTTCCTCGCTGTTGTAAACCTTCCTTTGACGCAGACGCTTGCGGCGTGATGGAGCAGAAGGACGAGGCCGGTCAGCAGGTGGACTCTCCGTGTGGCGGCCCGACAGAGCCGGGACAGGCGGGACTCTGCGAGTCAGTGAATCACAGCAAGCTTAAAATGAGAGAAACGACCATTGTGTTAACTGGGAATCGATGAGAAGAAAAAAAAATAGGAAAAATGTTTCAACCACCGTGTCCAGTAAAGTGATTCATGTTTATCTCCAGCATCTGTTATTTTTTAAGTCTGCGTTTGGCTGTGACACAGTCCTGAATCAGACTAAATGTTTAGCAGCTAAATGCTTGACTGTTTAGCACAGAACCATAAATCTCAGTTCAGACGCCAGTTTTGGTAACTGGAGGGTGAAAAATATGTTTGTGGCTCATGATTTATTTACACTTCCTGCTATTGCTGAAACATCGACACAAAACAACATAAAGTCAGTTAGCAACGAGGATGTTGATGGTTATTTGCTGCAGTTTCTTAAAAACTGCAGCAAAACTGTTTGTTTTTTATTTATTTATCAAGAGGGCGAGTTTAGGTCTAAGCTGAGAGGGCAGGATTTTGCTTTGAATGTAGCAGCAGTTTGTTTAGGAGAGGGACTGGAACGTCTGTGTTCAGTCAGGTCTTTCATAACTCCCTCAACCCCACAACTTTCCCTCTGTGCTGAATTCTCTGACCATGAGATAGTCTGCAGTTTTAAAAAGGAGATGTTACTCAATTCATTTGGAAAAATATCCAATAAAAGCCCCAGAACTCCAGATTTATAGCCCCACAATCAGCTTCAGTTCATTTTTCTTTTCTTTTCTTTTTTTCTCCTTAAATGTAATTCTACTCATTAAATGCACCGATTAGCATTTGTAGAAGATCAGAGGTCTACGTCTCCTCCCTTTGACAGCGTTAGCCTCTGAGGTTCTGGTGTGTTCTTGCTCCTGTAGGAAACACTACAAAGAGTACCTGGTGAGCCTGATCAACGCTCACACTCTGGACCCAGCTCTGCTCTATGAGGCACAGGATTTAACCCGGGCCTGTGAGAGATACCAGGTGGACACGCAGCGAGGAGACGCAGAGGAGGACAACGCCTACCACGCCCGACTGCTCAAGGTGGGGCACCGATCCAGTACTGAGGAACATTACCGATCCAGACTTCGTTTCTTTATATTTTCCGACTTGTGGTTATAATAATAGTGTTTCAGACTCTCAACAACTATTTCAGAGTTTTTTTTTTCTTTTCGGTTCTTTTAAACCCATTTTTAATCCAGTACTGCCTGACGATTTGCTAATCATTTTTCCTATAATCACGTCTTTTAAACAGTCTGATACGTCCTGTACAAACAAGCAGCTCTCAGAAGTGTGATGACAGCATTGGTGTTTTTTCCCCACACAGAAACTGATGGAGGTTCCCCTTGGTGAAAAAGTTCCTCGAAACAAATAAAGACTCCAGGTTGTCGTGGACAGTCAGCTGATATCAGAGTCATCAAGCATGATTCAGTGAAACTGACTACTCACACAGGCTGACTTTGGAGGCTGTAAAGAGGCTACTAAACCAGGAGAAGAAACTGATCTATGCAGCATTTTTCAGAGGCTGATTTCTGTTTCGAAACATTAACTTGTTCTGGATTGTGTATTCTGTTACTCTCTCTGTTTAGGATTCTTTAATCACAAAGAGACATGTTTTTAATGGTGAGCTGTGCCTTTAAGTAACAGAGTTGCACATTTCTTTGTTGTCTGAAACTGATTTAGCTCGAAGGAATATGATACTATGATTCATCTCTTGCACTTACATAAAATGAGTCTTAAATGTGCGTTCAAAGGTTGACTTGGTCATAAAGGAATACCAAACAAATCAAACTTCCTCTTTTTGTCGCACGTGGTGCATACAAGTTCAAATCAGCTCAATAAAAAGGATATTTTTAACTTTATGGTATCTCTGACTTTTATTCTTACGCAACATTTTTTAACAATAAAACTTAAAGATTGAATGTATCCAACCTACTGCAGCAAGACTCTGAAGTCACATCCAAGAGAGGAACAGATTAGATAATTTGTATCTATCAAGTAGGCTAACAGTGAAAACTTTAAGAAACAAGAACATTAGGGGGCAGGTGTGCATACCGTAAAAAAGGAAGGTTTACACTATCCAGAGATAATAAATCAATAAAGGTGAGGTTAAAACTTCACATTTATTCATTATTCAGCCGTTTAGTTTCCTGATTAAATTGAATTGTTCTTATTACACGGCGTAAAACTGAACAGCATCTTTGTCGCCCCCTGGCGGTGACATCACCAGCTGCTTCCTTAAAGTCACGTGATTTCTGGGAAACGGCTTCGCGGCGCTCCTGTTCCTGAGTGGGCTGTGGCGCACGCAACTCTCAGACTCACACACCACACAGGCACAGCGGAGGAAACACAACTAAGGTAAACGAAACTTAAGCCTACTTCCCGATTTGAACACCTTTACAACTATTTTTAAATTTGTCCTTTCTAAATATGACAAGATACGTTGTGAGGCTTGCTGCTGGCAGGTTTACTTCACGTACCGAAAGAATATCGAATTTATTCGCCGTCATGTTTGTTGAGCTGTTTTATTGACTTGAAAGTTTAGAAATGAGTGCTGAATAGTTGTCTATACACCAAATGAAGGGACTTTTACAAATTTGGGGGATTTTTGTTTGTTTTGATTTGACTGTCATTCGGGATGAAATGTGTACTAAAAGCGCAAAGGCCAGGATGCGTTTGTGGCATGTTTTGTAATAATCGATGGCTGTTTTTCTTGTCATTGTTTTCCAGTCGTTTCAAAGCAGACATGGCAGCAGTAAGAGCGCGCTCCACTCGCAGACTTCGCTCCTGGATAGTCGAGCAGGTGGGATGAGGAAAAGGAGAAGGAGGGGGGAGACAGAAAGGGAAAGAGGGCGTAGAAGTCCCCTAAAGATAATAGGGCCTAATTTGGCTGCAAAACACCGGACTACTCTTTTGCATGTGAATTTGATTTAAACAAACTTGAAATGGGTTTTCTTCACCTGGTTTACGTGTACATTTTGAATGACTTGGGAAAGATCTTCATTTCTGAACAAACATCACTCAACGTAACAGGTAGAGTGGTTAAAATGGGCTCACAGCTCACATTTATAAGCTTGAAACTTAGACACATACCACAAAAAAGCATTGTAACATACCACACAGATACCACAGATACCACTGCTATACATCGACAATAAACACTATCAACAACAAACAGCAAAAAAGTTTATACTAGTAGCTCCAAAAGCCGAAAAATGACAAAAGAAGATGAAGCGATTTTAAAAAACATTCATTTAGCATATTATTTATTTAGCAAACCTAGCAAATTAAGTAGGATTCTGTTAAATTAGCGTCTTCCATTCCTTATAACTCGATTACAAATCATTTTAGATGTGTAACGTTAAGCTAAATTTAAAATAACAGTGTTTTTTAACCCTGGTTAGTGTTTCTAGGTTTTTGTCAAAGATTGGGCACCTGAAAAAATAGCTGGATGTGATCAACCGGACCGAATAAAGTCAACTCTATTTTTTTAAAATCCCGAATCAGTGTGAACACGGGACAGTAATCCGTCTCCCAGCTCTGTTGGGGCCCAAATCGAAATCCAGATTATAGTAAAATAAGTTTTTGGGCACCAACCGAGCCCCTTTATGGAGCTAGGGAGTAAAAGAGCTTTATCTCAGAGGGAGTTCAGCTCTGGTGTGTTTGTGGCTTTCCAAGGTCGACAGTGGAAAATATCCCGGTGTGGTTTGGGATGATGAGGCCAAAACCATGTTCCGCATCCCCTGGAAGCACGCGGGAAAACAAGACTTCAGAAAAGACGAGGACGCCGCCATCTTCAAGGTTTGGATTCCTTTCAAGTCAGCTGCACATCTGCACAGCTGCTTCGGATCTCCGCTGTGTGGTGAAATGCTGCTGTCCTCTTCAGGCGTGGGCCGAGTTTAAGGGGAAGCTGACGGACGGGGAGCAGAACAATCCGGCCATCTGGAAGACCCGCCTGCGCTGCGCACTCAACAAAAGCCCAGAATTCAAAGAGGTGATGGAACGAGCCCAGCTGGACATATCCGAGCCGTACAAGGTCTACCGCCTGGTCCCCACCAACGAGCAAGGTGAGTCCGACAGCCGACGTCCTGGAGGTGATTCAAATGTTGTACCTATGACAGATTCAACTAAATTTTTACTTTATGTACATTCTTTGCATATAAGAGCCAGTTTTCAGCTTGCAGTCATAATTTGGTGTTAAAACCTGTTGGTTTTCAGCATCTGGAGAGCCAAAGAAAGAAAGAAATCTTTTCCTTATTGAAGTAAACCTTTACTGTTATTACTGCAGTATTATACTACACTAAATCTATCAGAAGCTTAGTCGTACATTATTATTAAGGATTTACTTTTGGTTGTGGAATCTGTCTCCTGCTTATGAGCCTGAATTGTTTGAAAAAATTCTGGGTAAAAAGCATCTGAAGAGTCTGGAACAGAAATGACTGAAATGAGCCCCGTGTGTTTAGGCCTGGTGATGCCGGACAAGAAGAGCCGAGATAAAGGAAGCAGGAAGCTGAAAAGGAGGAGCAGCAGCTCTGAGAGCGAACACGTTGGTGCGGTCAAGCGGATAAAGACGGAAGAGGTCACCTCTCAGCTGGTAAGATGATCCTGGCCTGAAGAGGATAGAAACAAACGGAGCCTCCTCAGACCAAACCAGAATCCTGCTGTTTGACAGGCAGTACAAATGGCAAATACTCCTCCTATGTTTGTGTTCAGACCCAAAAATGAGCATAAATGCAAAAGTAAGATGATTGAAGTCCCAAAAGCCCATTTCCGGAGAAGTGCTTTGCTGAGAGGGAACGAAATGCTGGATCTGGGTTGTTTTCTCAAGCTCTGAGAGAATGTCTGTTTTTTATGGTTTGCAGCCTTTGGTAGAAGCTGCGCTGCAGAGCGACGTCCTGGTTCAGACAGACGAGGCATCGCCACGCACCACCATCATCCAGGGAGACGGTGAGGCCGCCGGCTTTTACGCTCCAGCCACGTTTCAGTGTTTTCAGTCACCGAAGAATCGAATCTGAAGCAGTCCGTTTAAAAAGGCATAGGCATTAACACGAGTCAGATGCCTCCGAAACTAAATAAAAACAAGCAAAACGGTAGTGGACATCCAGAGAAGGAAATGGAAAGTTTTTCTGGAATCTTTTTAGTGTCTGGGACGCGTTTTTCTGGCTCAGCTTCGTTGTAATCTGAGCTCCACACAATCACATGCAGGGAGGTGTTTTTCTTCCTCAAAACAAATACTTAACTTGATCTAATGCACAGAGTTCTATCTGTTTCTAAAGACCTTAGTCAGGCGTAGGTACTCAGCTCAGAGCACCGTCTTTAACCCTAAAGCTGGACTTAAATCAATCTGTGGCCTTTTTCTTTGTCTCTTTGCTCTCCACAGCGCTGAATGAGATCAGGCTGGATGTTCGGATAGAGGAGAACGTCCCGGCTCCATCCGGAGGTAACGAACCTTTACAGCTTCTGTCCCACACACCTGAGCGGGAAGCCTCCATCCTCCTCCTCCTCCTTCTCCTTCTCCACAGTTCAGGACTCCTTCTGTGTGGAGGTCCAATATTTGGGACGGGAGGTCCTGAAACGGCAGATCCACGGCACCGACGTGCGGATAACGTACCTGCCCTCCTCCCTCGCCCCCCCCACGCCGGCGGCCCTGAACAGTCGTTTCCCACGCATCCCGCTGCCGGAGCCGCCCTCCGGCCTGCACGCCGGCCCCGAGAGGCAGGCCATCTTCACCCTGCTGCCCTTCATGGAGAAGGGGGTGGTGCTGACCTCCACGCCGCAGGGCGTGTACGGCATGAGGTTCTGCCAGGGGCGGATCTTCTGGACCGGGCCACACACCGCCTCTCCCGGTCCGCACAGGATGGAGAGGAAAACCGACCCGGTGCTGCTCTTCAGCAAAGACGTCTTCAGACAGCGTGAGTCCACACATGGACTTTCCCTCCCATCTTTAGGATGACCAAAGGCTCTTTTTGTTTTTCTTATCATTACGACAAGCAGCAAAGGTGCGCTGCATCATGAGGAGATCCAAATTGCTTCCCTTTTTTCTGAGCTTTTACTCATAATTGACTAAATATGTAAATCTGCAATGTTTTTCAGCATCAGTGCAGTAAAAAATCCCAACAGAAAACTGGAATAGAACTGATCCTTTCATCACTCTTAAAATGCAGATTTTTTAAAACATTTTATTTCTTGCCTAGACTGCTGTCATATTCTGGATTAAGTGGCTCAGTTTAGCAAAACGGCAGTCGGCATTTCATCTTTTGAAACTGATTGTTACAAGTTCCAGCATCTCACGTTGCATTTAAGGATATGTATTAATTCTTGTTGAGTTCATAAACGCGTTGAAAAAGTAGGCATGGTTACAAAGAGTCTCCCCCTGCTGGCGGCTCCCATGTACTGCAGGTTAAGAGCCTTTGTGTTTTCCAGCACCACAAAGACAAAGCAATGGATGTGAATTCAACACCAGAAGAAGTAAAGATTAACTCAGTTTGTCTCTTCCTCATTCAGAGTTGGACGACTTCTGTTCAAATGGGGGCGAGCCCCCTCAGTGCAGCTTCACTCTGTGCTTCGGAGAGGAGATGAGCAACAAAGAAGACCCCTCCAGGAAACTGATCATTGCCAAGGTACACAGAAGAAACTCACCTATCGCTCCAATAAACACAAATTTGGGTTTTGTCTAACTTACCAGGATATTATCTGTCCTCATCATTATTCTTAAAGTCTTGCATTTCTCAAGGAGAAAATAAATTTTAAGAAATATTTGATCTAATACAAATACAGCTGAAAGCAAGGAGGGCAAATGGATATTAAACTTTTTAGAGGCATAGAACCCTCTTAACCCTCTCAATTAAACTTTTCCCTACCTTTCTTATAAGAAATAATAATTAATTTCCCTCTGGGATTATTAAAGTATTTCTGATTCTGAAAAGAGGGGAAGATAGGGTTAAAGGAACAGTCATCATACAAACATATTAACCTTATTTTTTACATTTAAACCCCTGCTCCTTGCAGCATCATTTTTTGGATTTTAGGAAAACCTTTTTTACTTTAGTTTTGTCAAAGTAGAGCTGAACAAAAAGCCTTCAGCAGATGGTAAAAATCCTGCCTCTTCTCTTTTCTGCAGATCTCTTTACCGTGGGCAGAGCAGCAGGTCCAGAGCGCCATGTCCTTCTTCGAGTCCATCTCAGTCCTTCAAACACTGGCCAGCCAGTCGCCACTGGGAGAAATAACCCTGAACCTGGTCTCAGTGCCCTCGGCTGCTACTGAACTCGATGTCTGTGTCCCCCTCTCAGCACTTTGAGGGCTTTCTGTTTGAGCCTCCAAGACGGCAAAAGTTCATTTTGAAATTTGTCAAATTATCCCAGGAGCCATTTCCAGTTAAAAACAAAAAACAAACAATCAGCTTAAATGAGATTTGAAGGCCACTTAAATCCAAACAAGAGCCTCTGGTTTGCTTGGCAACTTGTGGCTTTGTGAACTCATACTTGAAATCAAAGCATTGGAATCACTACACACAAACCATAAGAGGAAGATAAATGTGTTTCTACTGTTTCCATTATAAAAAAAAAGAACCAAAAAAACTCTGTAAATGACTTCATACTGCTGTACCGTATCCACCGCTGAAATTTAAAATGAAACGAGAACATCGTAACCTCCAATATTTCTGTAGATGTTGCCGTAGTGAAGGTTGCTTTCCTGTATTACTCATTTTAGGTCTTAAACTTCGCTTTAGGATAACTTAATGGCATAGGCATTTAACAAACATGGGGTAAGGGTTCTTTATTAGTCGATGTGTGAGAAGTATTACTGGAAAAGTCCATCATGAGAATCTGCCCAACACCTTTAGAGATGTTAACTGTGTTCCACTGTAACAATGTTGCACTTGTTTTATGGGCATCAAACTAAAGTCAGCTCATCTCAAGGTATTTGTTTTTTGTTGGGACTGCTTAAGGAGCAGGAATGACGATGTCTTAGTGAAAACTTCTTGCTTTTACCTTATTTTATTCACTTTAATATGTAGACACTTCAGTAGAGGTTTCAGGGCCATATAAGACACTAAATATCATGAGACGGAATACTTAGCTTAGCTTTAGCTCATTAGGATGGAGGTGAGAAACCATAAACATCCCATATCTTCCTTGTAACAAGGAAACCCTAAGTTTAAATAAAGTTAGGTTTGGTTTTTACCATAATATCTCCTGTGTGAACATGCTCATCACTTGCCTTCAGAATAAGGGTGCCATTCATTTACATGGAGTCCCAGAAATGTGTGATCACCGTCTGTTCTGCTGGGACAAAAGAAGTTTAAAGGGAATTATCATTTTCATATATTACTACAAACATTCATTGGAAAGAGAGATGACTTTTTAAAAATGCGTTTACCACAGTACAAGTAAAAATCTGTGATATTAACAACACATTGAGCTTCTACAGCTTAAAGCACGGCAGGTATTCTGCACAGAGACAGAAAGCTGGACCAGAAATAAAACCACAAGAGAACAGCAGTGGTGTTAGAAGTGATTTTAAGGTGGATTAGTACTTTAAGTCAGCAGGGTGGTGGCTGGATCTTAAGGCACACTCATTTGCAGGGAGAGGTGGAAGACTGGACATCTGAGGTGTAAATATGTTATTTATGCATGTTTGTCTTTGTTCGGAGAACATGAAAGTGGCAAATAAACACCTTCTGGACTCTGAAAGTGTCTAGTTATTATAATCATAAAAAACATTTCTATAGGACAACGTAGACATAAATAAGTGAGGGCTTTCATGGATTAACTGGTGCTACTTCAGGTCAGATGTTCCCATTGGCTGGAGAGGAGAGCTCAGCTATCTTCATGTTGAGTTTATGATTGGTCCAGTCCTTTGTAATGTCGTCCAAATGGCTGTCGAAGTCCACTAAGAGCACCTGGTCGCCAGACTCGAACATCTGGCTGGCTATCGCCCGAGTCTCCTCCCACTGTCTCAGCATTACCCTGAACGGAGCAACACAGAGCAACGAGTCAGAGGGGATTCCAAGCCATACAAAATTCATCACAATCCCTGGTTTAAGTTATTTTTATGTATTTGATATTTCCAAACATACTTTAGGTTCTGAAACCACAAAAAAATATATATATATTATTTCTGTTTTGCTTCTCCAGCTTTAGACTTAAACTTATACAAAAAGCAGAATTTCACAGACAGAACCAAGATTCAAAGAAAAGACTACAAAAACACGGCAACGAATGATTTATCACAGCCTGAGAGGTAAGCCTTCATCAACATGATGCAATAATATGTAATCTCATCTAAGATGGGCTTCAGATGTTTTCATTTTTTAAAGACAACTGCTCGGGGAGACTTTGGCTAGTGTGTTACCTCTTTAAACAACAAAGAGGCACTGATCACAACACAAACAGCAACGATTTGAGGCAGATGAGGCCAAAAGTTGCTCTAAACCCTGGAAATATCCTGTTGAGCCGGCTCTTACGTGTGCTTGTCTTTGAGTGTCCACCTTGAATCTTTGCGCTCGTACATCACAATGGGAGGGACCCGATAGTCCGGAGACATCCTACTGCCATCGAGCTGGGAGGCAAAAAAACATTTATTCACAGAGAGCAAAGCCTTTCTTCTCATCTGCTAAAAAATATAACCAAAGGCACAAACCAGTTTGCCTTATTCTTACCATTAACAAAACAGCATTGTCACACTGCTCTGCAATCTTGTCAGCTATCTTCAGTGCACATGGTGTCGGACTGAAAGAGACATGTTAAGACTCCAAATAGGAAGTATACCCAAACAGCATTGGGAGTTTTTCAACACTCCATCATACAGAGAGGCAAATACATGTGGAAACTCACCTGCTATCTGAAGCGCAGGCGTTGGCCTGGTAGTATCCAACGATCCTCTGCTGGGTCTGTGAACACCACACATCCACCTGGAACAGGATGGCAAGTAGATGAAAATCACAACTTTAGCCATGAAAACACATTTCAGTGAGTTCTATTTCAAAACAGATGAGTTTGTTTCAATTGGAGACTTTAAAGTAAATCATGAATATGAAGATGGAGAGAGGTCAAATGAGCATCTCTTGACTTAATGTTAAGTATGGCTTCTTGAAAGCTACCCTTCCATGGAGAGCATTTCTGATCAGGCTCGGGCCAACGGCAGATGGATCAGCTGAAGTTCCAAATGCATCTCTCAGGTCCCTTTGTCAGGTCTTTCTGGGATTTTCCCCCCTATTTTTTTTTTTATATTAAATGACAGTGTGACGAATGATTTCTACTGCACTGCCAAACTTTACACTACACCTGTGTGAGGGCCAGTTGCGTGATGGGAGCCAGGGGCAGGTGGGAGTGAAGCAGGGGGACGCAGTCTGTCACACAAACACCCCCATCTGATGAGGAGGCGGACAGCAGAAGCCCGTTGATGCTGCACCTCGGAAACAGGCAGGCGTGCAGGTACATCTTCACATAAGCCCGACAGGAAAGCTCCACCTCACCCATGATGAGCACTACGGTCCCAGACAAATGAGAATCTTTAAATGCATGCATGTTCGCTAGAAAAAAACTTTAGCAAAGACTTTCGTTGTCATTTTCACAAACTTCAACTAAAAACAGACTAAAACGTCCCCTTTGGGTGCCCTGACAGCCAGCTGATGTTGTAGCTACGTGTTGTAGCATTAGCATACGAGCTAACCAAATAAAAATAATGCCTTACCTGACGAAAAATACAAATGTAGCCCTAGTAAGTTGCTTTAAGCAGCAAATATTACTCTCGCTATAAGCAATAAAGTAACAAAGCTGGGAGCCGATATGAAATTGTATTAAGTCACGGCTATAGAAAATGACAACGTTCAAGACTAAAGCTTTTAGTTCCGCCCAAAAAATGCATATCGTTTTCTGATTGGCTGAGTTCTGGACTATAATTCTATTGGTCCAGCTATTCGTCAATCAAGTCATAATAGGTGGCATGTCAAAATGTCCTAGTGTGCCCACTACTGGAGAGGAGGTAACTTGTAAGAGGGAGACAAACGCGGAAATAACTCAATATCTATCCGTTCCGTTGGATTGTTCTTTGGCAACTTTTTCCTTTTCAAAAACCAGTACTGTGGGGCATATTAAACTATGATGGTAAAATGTAATCTGAAATATTAAATAAATAAAAAACTAATTCTATGATGCCCTGATTACAAATGCTTCCATCCAATTTCATAGCAAAGATATGTGCATTTTCAAAACGCATTTGTCACAAACCTAAATCATAGATTAAGCATGAGATAGACCATCTCAACAAAACACTGTCAACACTGACAGATCCTTGGAGATTTTATCCCAATCAACATTGAGATATTGGTTAAGCTCATTAAAAATGTTCAAGTAGTCACATACCTAATCTTGTAATCAGCAACTGACTTGGAAACAATGGATTAAAACAAAAAACTTTAATGGATTTTTCAAACTATTTGGTATTCAAAGTTCATCCATTTGTTCAATTGATAGCAAGTTGGTATTTTTCATTTCATGGTGTCTAAGGAGGGAAGCAAAAAGTATTAAAAAGAAATTATTCATCACAGTTCAGGTACATATCCTGCCAGTTGAATACTTTGTAATAAAACTCAAACAGTTTAACCACAGATTACAAAAAAAAAAAGAATGTGGTAAGGGCTTCTTACCAATCTAGAGTTCGACAAAATAAAATAAAAATAAAAATCAACAAAAAGGAAAAGAATGCAGTTGCTAAGAATGCTTAAGCTACTGTGGTTGGTGTCCCATTTATTCCAACTTAAACACTTATGGTCTTTCGTGGATCTTGGGTCGATAATGTCCCCGCTTTGTAAGGTGGTAAAGCATCTTGGGGCGCCAGGGTACAAAACTGCGCTGCTGGGATCTCTTGGTAAAATAACGTCGGGGTTCTGGGCTCTTGGGTTGCTGGGGTAGATGAGATAGGTGGTCAGACATCTGCGGAGATTTCTTCTGCTGCTGGGGAGGTGGCGGTTCAGGTGTGTATCCAACTACCCCAAGGTGTTGTTGGGACTGTTGTGTCGGGTTGACAAGTACTGTGGGGTGTAGTTGGTCTTCTTGAGGTTGTTGTGACAGGTTGTAAGACACATCTGGCTGCTGGCCTTGTTCAGGCTGTTGTGGGTTACCTTGTGAATTGAGCTGCTGTGGAGACTGGTAATCATGAACATCGGTATAGTGGGGTTGTGAAAGATAGCTTGGAACATTAGCATTATTGGAAAACTGTTTGCTATGCTGTGGCTGATACGTCATCTTTGGTTGGTGGTCCTGTTCGTACGACTGGTAGCAGTGCACTTTATGTTGGTAATCCTGTTTGGGCTGATGACCAAGCATCGTATGTTGGTGGTCTTGTTGGGGCTCATGTATTGATTGGCTAGGTACCCCAAGATGCTCATGCAGAGGACGCTGTTGTTGCAGATTGTAGTCTTGGTGCTGGTGTTGTAAAAGGTAGCTTAAAGCCCCAGGGTGCTGGGGCAGCTGGTACTGCTGTGGTAGGGAGCCAGGCGCCGTTGGGGGCCAATGTTCTACCAACAGTTTTGGCTGGTACCCATTTACTTTGGGATGATGGTGCTGTTGCGGCTGGTACCCAGGTACACTGAGGGAATTGGGCTGATGGGGCTGTTGTGGCTGGTACCCAGGTACCCCGAGGGGATGGGGCTGCTG